CGCATGAGGGAGAGACATGCTGTTCCAATGTGAGAGACATCCTGTGCCAATGTGAGAGACATCCTGTGCCAATGTGAGAGACATCCTGTGCCAATGTTAGTGATTCAAGATGGAGCTGGTCAGGTCACTTCCAAAATCAAAGTTTGATGGCAAATGGGTATCAATCAGTGTTCAAAATACCTGCCTGCCCGACCGCCCGAGACGGGTTGATTTCAACTCGGGCTGCCAGATTTTCAAATCCCCCTGCCCGACGGTCGGGTTATATTTCATATGTGAAAATATTCTAAATATTTCCCGATGATAAGCATTAATTCACATGTAAAGATGAATGATAAAATGTAACCAAAAAGAAACCCTGTTAGCTTTTAGACAACCTAAATTTTAGCGATGCGCTTATGCTACAAGCAATCAGTTTTCATATTTTGAGACAAGCTATTTGATTGTATTATCCCTGACACGACGACCAATCAGTGACCTTGTTTCTGTTGCTAGTGATATTGCAAATGGCGGTGCCCATTACCCACATTGCTCGACAGCATGAGTCTTTTAAAGTTTCTTGGTTTACCTGAAGTCAGTGATGACAAGAAAAAAGACACAGGCTGAAAGAAACAAGATCTATGATAGCACGAAGCGAAAGAAAGATCGTTTCTTCTTGGAAAACTAAATATGAGTCAGACTTCAGTGACCTCGTTGAAGGAAGTGACAATCACAATGACACTGACAGTGATATGGACATTGATTGAAAGTCATGAGGCCCTATTTAGGAATAAGGATATTTACATGATGTATCCTAGGATATTAAATACAAATCTGACCTAAAAAGTGTTTGCTATTTCTTTTCTTGCATTACTTCATGTTCAATGAATTCGATTTAAAGTTTTAATTAAATTATCCTGAGAAACATATGATTATAGTGGGCAGGCAGGTTTTGGTCAGGGCTGACAAGTATTTCAGCTAGCCAGTCCTGTGGTCTGGCTGAAATTTTTGGGAGTTTCATACCCTGTATTAATGCGGTCTATATACAAATAAAATGAAGGTAATATACTGATATAGTGGATGAATCTCCCCTGGTGTTTGTTCTTTCAACCAAATCCTGTAAGTCGCCTCTTATGCCAAGCATGAGTTGCTGAACGCCTATTCTAACCTGGATCGTCACGGGGTGTGGGGGGGGGCTATAGTGGTCTGATGTTAGTATTAAATTACCATAGACTTAAAGCCCTTGTGTAGACATGGTAGACGTGATTAACAGGGTTCTAGCTGTTAACTGAATATTGTCTTACGCTGCTGTCAACAATACTCAAGCCAAAACCACAGAGGTTTCCATAAACGATTCAAACCCATGGTTGACTGTAAGATCAACACCTCACGCTGTCTTGGTTGGATGACACACAATGAGCCAGGTCACACCTCTTGACCATCCTATCACAATGGGTTCTATTCCAACCTGGAGATGCCACACTCAACAGTTAATATACCAACACATTGCCATAACAGACACAAGTGAGTGAATAAGGTTTAATGCCACTTTTAGAGATATTCCATCAATCTTACAAAGAAGGACACCAGACATTAGTAGGGGTCAAATGATATAGCAAGGTCACGATACGATACGTATCACGATAAGATATATATCGCGATACGCATATTTACATTAAATCACATGGAAACTTTCGGACAATAAATATTTCAGAGCAGGTTCAAAAGGAAAAGCTAGCTGTAAACATGTTCATAAGGGCTATTTTTAGTAGCGAACCCAAAACGCTAATTACAACACAATTTGCTATATATGACTGACAAAATCTCCAGAAATCATTAAACGAGTACATAGTAAGTTATTTATTTCAGCAAGTGTATCATCTTGTATCGATACAGAGAAAAACATATGTATCATTTCACCCCTAGAAATTAGTTCCACACAGTGTACCCTTGTTGGCAATCGAACCCAGACATGCCTATGCTTTAACTACTAGGCTACCGAACCGCCTCTCAAAATAGACAGGACATTATTCAGTAATGGAAGTGGTTCATTGTTTTACGCTGCACTTAACAATATTTCTGATATATGAGTGAGGCATGTAAATAATCCATTCTGAACCAGATAATCCAGTGCTTGATATTGTGAGTTGGTGGAATATCAAAGCTATCAACAATGTCACCGAGGCTGACTGACCCAATCCTGACAGACCCACTCCTGACCGAACCAGCATGGATTCATGGCGTCCTATTCTAACCACTGGTGGGGTTATTCTGACTCAAAAGGTTTCTTCCGTTTTTTTCGGGAGGCCATATTCTTGCTTGGAACACCATGTTAGTTTTGTTTGTTGTTTAATGCCGCAACAATCATCCACTTATACGACGGTTAATCATTGAGTGTGGACAAGACAATCCTGTGATTGACATGAGCATCAATCTATGCAGTTGTGATATGATGACATGCATCAGCCAAGTCACCGAGTCTGACCACCCGATCCTGTTAGTCGCCAAGGATGGGATGCTGAAGATCAGTTCTAACCGGCTTCTCTGCGGGTATCACACCACGTGGTTGACTTACGTCACCATTAAACTTAACACCCTGGACATCTTAACTAGATTTACCGTAGATAACCTATAACATACTACACCCACCCAGTTATCAGTATCAGAGAATTTGTTGATATGTATTATCTAGTGCAGAATATCAGTCCCAAAGTAGAAGGACCTACTTGAGGGCATCTGACCTATGCGACCTTTGAACTCCAAACAGTCAACAGTTTATAAGTTTGTTAAGATCCTGGTCAGAATAGGTCTTCAGGAACCCATACTTGCCATAAGAGGCAAGTATGCTTGTCATAAGAGGCGACTAACAGGATTTGGTTGATGCATGTCATCATAACCCAATTGCGTACATCGATGCTCATGATGTTAATCACTGGATTGCGTGGTCCTAGTTCTCTACCTGTGCTGTGCCAACCGTAAAGTATATGTCGCTTTTTTTATAATTTAAGGGCATATTCACATTGATCAACAAAATTAAATACAGTTTTGTCTTGGAAATAATAAGGAAATGTAGGTATCTTTGAGGGTAGCATCTATAATGGTGACAAAGTTTTGAAAAGCCAATTGCTTGGTATTGCGCGATTTTTGTTTACACTATTTTGATTTACAACACAAACTAAATATTTCACCCTGAGCATTGCATTTTATATCCTGTGTATGCTACAGTCAATGTGTAAAATGATTTAAAGTTTCACATAAGCAATTAATTAAACATCTAAATATTCCATTATTTTCAAATTTACTGAAAAATCTGTCCATTTATTTTATCATGATAACGAATTCCAAACATACTGATGTCTAACTACATCACCCAGTGACTGAAAATGATAGGAATAAAAGAAAATCAAAGTGCATTTCTATATTTTTGGGCTTCCAATCCTAGCACTATTGGTCTATTGTGATGTTTTTAATCCGTTTGAACTCCTTAAAAATTATTAGTCAATCTGATCAATAAATGAACAGATTTTTCAGTCAATTGCTAAAATGACTGAAATATTTAGACATGAATAAATTTCCCATAGACGTAATAAGCGCCCCGCTCTAATAAGCGCCCACGGCGATATTTGCTAATATACTGGCTAGTGAACAATTCCAATTATCACCCCTTCTGATTGATAAATGTACACAAGGCTATTTATAGGCTATTGTTATATGCACCCTTAATTATGGGCAATTAATTTCTGGAAAAATATATCTGTCGTTTATAAACATTTCAGCATAAACCACGAAATTTACGCTCTCTGAACTCAAAAATATATATTCTAATAAGAGCCCCCTATTTCTAATTTTGAGAGCGCCCTGGGCGCTTATTATGTCCGATACAGTCACATTTTACACATTGACTGTAACCATGGTAACATATACATGCCTACAAACAAAAAGGGTTGTGAAAACAACAAGTTAGTGTTGTCTGTCTCATATCGTAGAACTTCCCAACGATAACACAGAGAACAAGAATGATTCTGTTCAATGCTACAGCAAAGGAATGAAAACAAAATGCAAATATCGTAATTACAACTGACCAAAATCACCTGCACATTATAAATAACATACATTTCACCCCACTTCAGACATGGATTTATAAGCCAATGTTAGATTGAATAACTACCACAGACATAAATAATGCCAAACGGGAACCATGGCAATCAATGTACAGAAATGCATATAGATAGTGCCTCGAAGTTTATTCACAGTGTCCTTACAGATGGTAGTCCTGTCTCTTGTCATGCTCAGTTCTGTGAGCGAGGCAAATGGCAGCTTATGAGCCCTAACCGGGTAGACGCCAGAGATTAGTGCTAAAGCTGGGACAGGTAACTCGGGTACTCGGGTCGGTTGGGTAATGAGTTTGACCCGGGTACCCACAGGACTACTCGACCCATGGTTAGTCACGTGATAGATTGTTTAACGACAAACATTATCTATAACTCCATGGTTACACAACAAGTCACTAATGTAAACATTTCTTTCTGACTATGCACCCATTCCTTCTGACATTTATATGTTTGTGTAAAGATAAAGCTGAACTATAGATTTGGTTGGTTGATTTGTTGTTTAACGCCGCACTCAGCAATATTACAGCTATACAGCAGTCTGTAAATAATCGAGTCTGGGCCAGGCAATCCAGTGATTAATATCATGAGCATCGATCCAGGCAATTGGGATCGATGACATGCATCAGCCAAAGTCAGCGAGCCTGATCACCCAATCCCATTAGTCGCCTTTTACGACAAGCAGTCGCCTTTTACGGCAAGCATGGGTTGCTGAAGTCCTATTATACTGTGGATCTTCACAGGTCTAGAGAGAGACCTTCAGCAGGTTGGGTAGGGTCAGCAGAGACCATATACCAATATATCGGTATATGGTCTCTGGATTGGGTATATGAGGGGTCGTGCACGGGTAGTAAATTTTGACTTGTCCCAGGCCGGAGTAGTGCCCCTTAAATGATTGATTTATACAAATCTTACTTGCTCCAATGGTGACGAGGTCGGTGGGAAGGCCATAGCTTTGTCGAAAATGGTTATACAGCGAAATGAATATATCCATTGTTTTTCAGTATAGCCCAGGGCCATCACCTGGCCATCACACACGGGGCATCCACACAGCACAAGCAGTATCTGATAGCAAAGTCCAATCTCTTCACAGCCCTGCGGCCTTCCACTGATGAAGAGGAAGCGGGCCAAGCAATGTGTGTCACCTACTAACTGTGTCACTTATCTGCAACCCACGCTGAACACTGCTAAGTATGTATTGGAAAACACGTGCATTCCTTTGGCTCCGATAACGGATATCGAGCTATTCTTTAATTGTCTGTCAACACACATGCGTAATCTCATAGGTTCATAAGTAGCGGTGTTATTTCCGGTGAATGTTGTCCGATGAGGCAATCAAATATTGCCGCAAACATTCAAACTCCATACACGGCATGGACAATAGTGCGGTGTGCGGATACCAAAACAAAATGTCTTTTAGGCCTAACAGTTTTAACAACTTGATCTCATCTGGTGCACACTTGATACTCTTTTTTTTCGTCGACTTGGTTCAATGATTCGGCTGTACAAACGGGTCGATCGCTCGATGTCACGTGTTGCAGGTCTGTCGGCGACTTATCTTTATCACGGCCATGGCATGGATAACAACACCTCTCATGTCAGGTAAGAAGTGCAGAGTTATCTTCTCAAGCGTGACCCAGTCTACGACCACGCCCTCGGAAAAGGTCGGGGCAGCGCTCCAGTCCGAGCCACAACTGCGAGGAGGATGTATGATCCGATTGTTGATGTAACGAATTAGTCACTCGATCGATTCAAACGGTCGTCACATGTACCCCGACCTATGTACCGGAACAAATCACCCTCCACTTCAGTCCGGAAATAATCCCCAAACGCTGAATACCGCAGTTGTGTGACCTCGGGAGTTCAATGCTCACATTCATATACTGCACAAAATGAAGGAAACGACGCACCTCGTAATAAGTCAATGTCCAATACTAGTTGTATTTGGGAATTACAGGTCCGAGTTGTTGGTAAAATCCTACACGTCATTATCGCATGCATGCTGTAAAGTGTCCACAAGGCAGAGCTGTAGTTGTTTTCGGTGCGATTTCTCTGTCAAATTAGGAAGAAACTAATGCCGCAGGTACGCTGGGGTTGCCACGCCCGAGGGCGAGTTGCTTCGCCTACCGTCAATACGACACTGACACAAAGCCAGCCTGGCGTGATCGGCACGGAACATGTGCTGCACTATTTAAAGACCATGCTTACATATACCCGACTGTCGATTCAGACATTATGCCTATCGTTTGCGAGAACGATCGTTATCGGAATCAATATTTCGATATTATTAAGCGTTTTGTTAGCGGTATCGGATGTCGTTATTTGGAAATACCCTGATGGTTACTGTTTAATAAAAAAAGGAAAAAAAGGATCCTTTCAGTGAAGCATTTTCGGATTTCGGATTGTGGTGGATAATACGATTACAAGTCCCTGGTTGTCATCCATGTATCATGGTATAACCTTACACGTGTGTATTTGTCGTTATTCACTTGATGCTCAGTTAATGAATGTATCACAGGTACAAACAGTGGTAGCACCACCCAGATTACCCGAAAAAAATCACCATTTGGCATTTCTTGTGTATTGGGTAATTATTCAATTATAAATCCAGGGGTGAAATCTATGATGTGAAATATGCACGTGGCAGCTCAGCAAGAGAGGAATGATCAGTTGAGTTACAAGAAACATCCACCAAAAGATCAACCGAAAATACGTTGATTGATTAATCAGTGTTAACAGTGTATTTGTCAAAAGTAAGTGTTTAAGTGTTTACATGTGTATGATTACTAAAGCAGACGGAATACACCCATATCTGGGCCGATCTGAAGACAACATATTTCAAAGATTAACCGATAATACGTTGATTGATTGCTCATTGCTATAACTCAGTTGATTTTTTTAAGGACCGTGGATATAATGAAAATAGTTGTCATAGTGCTATCTCTCCCCGTGAAGATCCGGGGTATAATAGGTCTTCAGCAACCGGCCATGCTTATCCTAAAAGGCAACTATGCATGCTTGTCGTAAAAGGCGACTAATGGAATCGGGTGGTCAGGCTCGCTTGACTTGGTTGATGCATGTCATCGTATCCCAATTGCGTGGATCGATGCTCATGATGTCAATCACTGAATTATCTGGTCCAGACTCGATTATTTACAGACTGCCGTCATATAGCTGGAATATTGCAGAGTGCGGCGTTAAACAACAAATAAACAAACGTTGTGCTATCTCAGCTGACCAATGAGATTTGACACCTAAGTGAAACACAGAAACGAACACGAGTTATAACACCCAGAGACGCTATTATATATATTAAATTATTCGTTTGTCACAGGTTTCCTTGAACAGCTGCAGGTGTGTGTGGTATTGTTCCTTTTTGTTGATATTGACGGATACATTGCTTGAACGGATACATTGCCTAATATTACTTTGGTCGGTTGTAATTACGATATAGGTAGTTTGTTTTCGTTCATTTGCTGTTGCATTGAACATAATCATTCTTGTTCTTCTACGTTTTCGCTGTGAAGTTCTTCGTCGTTGTTTTCACAAGCCTTTTGGTTTGTAGGTGTGTATATGTTACAGTATCTGCGTAAAATGTCATTCACTTAGGCAATTTATAAATAATGTCTGAATATTTCAGTCATTTTACAAATTGACTGATTAAAAATTATTAAGACCTTCAAAAAGGCTTAAACATACCACAATAGACTAATTATGCTAGGATTAGCATACAATAATAATATTATTGATCGTTTTTTCAGTCAATTGGTAAAATAAGTGAATATTAAGGCGTTTTATAATTAAGTAATTTTACACATTGACTGTAACATATACACACGATAAATATGGGCAATATTTAGTGTGTAACAAGTTAAAATAGTGTAAACGAAAATGGCGCAATACCAAGCAAGTGACTCTCAAAATTAACTTACAGTTGGCGTAGCACAGGTAGAGAACTAGTCGAAATTTCTGACATATCATCCGTGTATCCACGGGGAAAGAAAATAACAGTCCCGATGATTTGTCAGAGATCAGTGCCCCTTTAAGTTGGAAAGGCGACCCAATGAGATAGGAGTGAACCTGTTGAAAATCTAGACTTGCTACATTTAGCTCTATAGCATTAGTAAGGGCTTGGGGGACAGGAAAAGGATATGGTTCAGGAACTGTAAAACAGACAAAATGTTAACGAACATACCTCTACAAACACTTCAGCTAGAGCCGTCATATGGCTAGAATATTGCCGAGTGCGGCGTTGAATAACAAACAACAAAATTTCAGCAATATCTACTGTACTATGATAACATGTAAATAATGTATCAAATAATCGTAAACAAACAAACCCAACAACAAAAATAACTTTGAAACATTCCTCTTATGTTATAAATTATGTTTTTGTGCATTTGGAAAAAAACCTCAATATTTATTTTATATAATAATCAAAAGAAGGTAAAGAACACCGGAGTTTGTCATATGACGAGTCAATTTGTCATGCGATACAGATCATTTGAAAGAATCGAGTGTTCTTTAACATTTTTTGAGTAGCATATATCATTATAAAATTCATATTGGAAACGGGACTGCGTCCAGTCTGCACCTTTCATCGCATCTGCCGGAATTAATGTACCGTATATCACCGTCTATAAAGCGACCCCGCCTATAAGGCGACCTCCTTGTAAAAGCCTTCAAAATCGAGCAGTTTTTGCAGGAAGCTCGGTGATATCACATTCATACACATCAATGAATTTTTCATCCCAGTTATTCGCCACAGATACAGGTGATACAGCTGTTGTAAGTTATTGGAGAGATAATAGATCCATATAGCAATGCAGTACGCTTATTTACGACCCAGTGAACTTATATAGGGCAGTAGGGTAGGGTCAACGCCTTCGCTCGTCACGCGGAAGGCCCGGGTTCGATTCCCCACATGGGTACAATGTGTGAAGCCCACTTCTGGTGTCCCAAGCCGTGATATTGCTGGAATATAGTTAAAAGCACGGCGCAAAACCATACTCACTCATCTGGTTTGGGTAGCCTAGCGGTTAATGCATTCTCCCGGGTTTCATTCCCCACAAGGGTACAATGTGTGAAGCTCATTTCTTGAATATTAAATGGCAGCCCCCTCCCCCCCCCCCCCCCCCCCCACACACACACACTTTTGAATTATGATAAAATGATTAAGCAAATACATCCAAGAAGAATAGAAGCGTATTCATTCTTGAGCAGCCATACAAATATAACATCGCAGCGACAAGTTTACTATATATCCTTCATAATGTCAACAATGTGTCATTTTCACGACATACGGTTTATAAACGCTCATTACCAGTAGTTATAGTTTTAAAACCAGTTGGTAGTGACAGATACTGAAATTTACCAAGTCATTGCTCGGGAATTGGAGGATTAAAATCGGATTTCAAAATGAACAAGGAATTTCAGTATTTTACTCTGTCATTGATCGCCATAGCAACCAGCTGTATGCAGTATGCAAACAATGTGGGCTGTTATCCGACTGAAACACGAAGAATTTGTCTCAGACTATTCAGGTGAAGGTTCATAAAATGTTTTAAAACGTCATTTTGAGAAGAAATTTCAAATTGAAAATATCCTTATTTTAAGTGATATCAATACAAAATGTATATATACGTTTGTGATATTTCCTTAATGATAATACTGGCTTTGTAAATAAATAGTTGTGCCATAAGTACGTATGTGATATTTGCCTGATGATACTGGCTTTGTAAATAAATAGTTGTGCCATATTACGTATGTGATATTTCCCTGATGATGATACTGGCTTTGTAAATAAATAGTTGTGCCATATTACGTATGTGATATTTCCCTGATGATAATACTGGCTTTGTAAATAGATAGCTGTGCCATATTACGTATGTGATATTTCCCTGATGATAATACTGGCTTTGTAAATAAATAGTTGTGCCATATTACGTATGTGATATTTCCCTGATGATAATACTGGCTTTGTAAATAAATAATTGTGCCATATTACGTATGTGATAGTTCCCTGATGATTAAACTTGCTTTGTAAATAAATAGTTGTGCCATATTACGTATGTGATATTTGCCTGATGATGATACTGACTTTGTAAATAAATAGTTGTGCCATATTACGTATGTGATATTTGCCTGATGATAATACTGGCTTTGTAAATAAATAGTTGTGCCATATTACGTATGTGATATTTCCCTGATGATAATACTGGCTTTGTAAATAAATAGTTGTGCCATATATCGTATGTGATATTTCCCTGATGATTAAACTTGCTTTGTAAATAAATAGTTGTGCCATATTACGTATGTGATATTTGCCTGATGATGATACTGACTTTGTAAATAAATAGTTGTGCCATATTACATATGTGATATTTGCCTGATGATAATACTGGCTTTGTAAATAAATAGTTGTGCCATATTACGTATGTGATATTTCCCTGATGATAATACTGGCTTTGTAAATAAATAGTTGTGCCATATATCGTATGTGATATTTCCCTGATGATTAAACTTGCTTTGTAAATAAATAGTTGTGCCATATTACGTATGTGATATTTGCCTGATGATGATACTGACTTTGTAAATAAATAGTTGTGCCATATTACGTATGTGATATTTGCCTGATGATAATACTGGCTTTGTAAATAAATAGTTGTGCCATATTACGTATGTGATATTTCCCTGATGATAATACTGGCTTTGTAAATAAATAGTTGTGCCATATTACATATGTGATATTTCCCTGATGATACTGTCTTTGAAAGTAAATAGTTGTGCCATATTACGTATGTGATATTTCCCTGATGATAATACTGGCTTTGTAAATAAATAGCTGTGCCATATTACGTATGTGATATTTCCCTGATGATAATACTGGCTTTGTAAATAAATAGCTGTGCCATAATACGTATGTGATATTTCCCTGATGATAATACTGGCTTTGTAAATAAATAGTTGTGCCATATTACGTATGTGATATTTCCCTGATGATAATACTGGCTTTGTAAATAAATAGTTGTGCCATATTACGTATGTGATATTTCCCTGATGATAATACTGGCTTTGTAAATAAATAGCTGTGCCATATTACGTATGTGATATTTCCCTGATGATAATACTGGCTTTGTAAATAAATAGTTGTGCCATATTACGTATGTGATATTTCCCTGACGATAATACTGGTTATGTAATCACATGGCTTTTGCTTGTACGATATATCTCCCAATGTCTGTTTTATCACAACGACATGTATGTTACATATACATATTATGATATTGTAACTGTACAAGCATACAGCAGGTTCATATACAAGCATACAACAGGTTCATATAAGAACTATTCTATCAAGGCAGCGAGCCCACACACACCCACTCCCCGCCTTTTGAAAACCAAATGTAGTATGTTGTAGGCAGTGAAATTATCTTAGTGTGGATTTTGATATTTTGGACCCCTCCCTTTTAACAATGCTGGATCCGTCTTTGCAGTTTTCAGAGTGGTGTTTAACTAGATGTGTACAGTCGTCCTATTTTCTAAATATATACAATGTGAACGGAGCTGAATCGTGGGTTAAACCGTTATACCGACACGTGCCGAGTACTCTCTCTCTTCTCAGTTAAACCGTCCTCCCCTCCCCTTCACTCACCTGTTAAAAGAACGATCACATCAACGACGATCTTTACAATGTGGAGATGTTTAGGATTCATAGTCCCTGGATGTTTGTGAGGACAGGATATTGTCACAAACTGAGCTCTGTATGCCGCCTAGTCTACTCCTGCTGATGTTCGTTGTGCTTCGCACTTCACATAAATTCCCCCTTCAAGCACGTCCCTAAATCATGGCGAGAATATTTACCTCGGGGCATAACCTGGAGAAGTTAGAATATTAACACCTGGATTATTCATAGAGAAGGGAGGTAACTGCTATAGGGACTAAGCATTGATTCGTTTTGCTTGAATAACTTGTACCTGCATGGAAAGAATTTACGCACGCAAGGGAAATAACTCTTTAGCGTCACAATTTCTTCAGGTGAGGTCAGGTTTTATTCATTGAGCGGATCTTGTTTCTCACTACTATTGCAACTCGCAGTCCATTTATTTGCAGTAAGGACAACGTGACATACGCTCCTAGTTTAAATGACGGGAATATATTATATGCCGGCTTTTGTTATAGGTCAGGTGAGTGGGATTTGTCAGGCCACGCGTGGATGGTTGATGTCATGCGTGTATGTGGTAATCTCAGCCACATGCGCACAAGGACACCGCAGGCGGTCCCGTTGTCTGACTCATTTTCCGTGGTACGATCGTCTTAAGTGACGATCAGGCCACAACAGTCATTTTCTTTGGGAATAAATACGTTTGGCTCAAGTCCCGACCCAATAATCTTTTTGCTGTGGGCCTTTGTGTTGTGAGATTTAATTTGTTTGATTCCTCGTTTCAGCTATACACACTTTCATGTTGTGAGTGAGTGGGTTTGTTTAACGCCGCTTCAAGACAGTATGTCTGTAGTATCATGGTGTGTCAGCTTGATGTGGGGTGTGAAGCAGGTCTTGGTGTCCGTGTGTGTGTCTTCAAGCGGTGACCGTAATACCTTTCCCTCACTGACAAAACAATAGGTTTAAAAAAATCAGACAAAGTGACGAGACCCTACAATCGAGTTTTCTATAGTTCAGACAATGCGAAGAGGCACTGAAATCGGAGTTTCTATAGTTCAGACAAGGTGACGGGCTCTAAAATCTGGTTTCCTATAGTTCAGACAAGGTGACGGGCACTGAAATAGAGATTTCTAAAGTTCAGACAAGGTGAAGTGGCACTGAATTTGGGTTTTCTTTCGTTCAGACAAGATGACGGGCACTTAAGCCGGGTTTTCTGTACTTAAGACAATGTGATTAGGTACTGAAATGAAGTGTTGTGTTTCATGTTAAAGTTATAAAGTATTATTTCCTACTATTTACCCAATCAACGAATCTACGAAATTATCTATCAGTTCAAATGGAGGTTTCGGTTTGCGACACTGCGGGGATACTTCAGATATTGAATAAATCAGGTCAGTTTATCTTTGCCTTTTTATAAGGGATAAGGGGGCACGAGTGGCCCAGTCGTCTAAGGCTCCGCAATTCGCTGTGCATAGTGGTTCGCATTGTGTCTCCACATCCAGGTCTGATGTGGTGAATGTACTACATGTTATGTAATATGCACCTGGCAGCGCAGCAAGAGATTTGGTTTGGTTGGTTTGTTGTTTAACGCCGCACTCAGAAATATTCCAGCTATATGACGGCGGTCTGTATATAATCGAGTCTGGACAAGACAATCCAGTGATTGACTTCAGGATCATCGATCCACGCAAATGCATCAACCAAGTCAGAGAGCCTGACCACCCGATCCCGTTAGTCGCCTTTTACGACAAGCATGGGCTGGACTGATATCTGGACTCACGGTGGACCAAGGGATAAAAGTCCAGTTTCCACCCTTGCAGAACTAGGCTGGTGTTATGGGGTTACGTTTTGGCTGGACTAACGAGAACGAGTCTATGCGTAGTCCAATCAAATTCGCGTAACGAAATCAACATCCGCGGTTTATATGAGTGGTGATTATTCAATAGGAGGGACATAACTCGTAGAAGCCACTGGTGGAGCTGCGATGGGACCCAGAAATTCCGGCCCACGTCGGCAAGGGTGGAAACTGGACTTACAGTCCGTTAATTCCCTTGCCTCGGAAAGATGGGGATGGTCGTGATGTAGTCTCTGTTACCTGTCAAGGACAGTGTGGCCTCACGTTGTCGTCCACGTAGGTGGGTCTGGAAGCCAGGTTATCAAAATATTGCACAACGAATGGACCCAGGATCTGTACCTGTCACGCGTCAGACTTCTCTGCATAGTGCGGTTTCCAGGTTGTTGTCGTGCCTGATCCTCCAGCACAGGGGTTTTGGGACGAATGTTTCTGGGCGTTTATGCCGTGTTTCGTTGCCGCCAGACCCGAATACGTCCGTCTGTGACACACAAAAACCTCTTCTCTTCAGATCAGCATCTGACATCTTCCAAAGGCAAAGCTGTACACCAATTCTAAAAGTCCAGTTTCCACCCTTGCCGAACTAGGCTGGAATTTCTGGGCTCCACCGCAGCGCCACCAGTGGCTATTACGAGTTATACGGTCTTACCTCGCGAAGTACATCAAATCACGTGAGTACCTTGATTAACAACATGATGAGATTTGGAAAATAGCTGTCGACGCCAAGATGACGGTACACATCTTTTGCAAATCCTGCAGTCGACTGAAATCCGCACGTTGAAATCCATGTTGTTTAAATCCGGATGTCGATTTCGTTTTGCGATTTTGATTGGACCAGGCATAGACTCGTTGGTCCAGCCAAAATATATCTCCATACATGCAGCCTTGTTAGGCAAGAGAGGAAACTGGACTTTTACAGTCGGTTAACTCCCTTGCCTCGGGAGGACTTGCCTGACAACATAGGACTATTGGTCACCCTCCATGACCTCAGTCCTGCTGATTTGAGCCGATTTCGCAATGTCCGTGATGACAATATATTGTCTAAGGGGCAACCAGTTCTCTTTCAGACAGACGTTTGTGGCAAAGAGGCCTGACCAGGCGGAGCAGGTGGCGATCTCCTCTTGCTGATGTCACACCAGGCTGTCAAGTCCTTGATCGGCCCTTAAGCTCATTACTTGGCGATGTTTCTGTGCCAGTCTGATAATAGCCGAAAGGTATTAAGCGAGTTGACGGCCAACTGCTTGTCCCACATTCCCGAATAAATCATGCATATTGTTCGCCACCTTTCGACGTCAGATAATCTACTCCCCGAGGCTTACTGGTAAAGAATTAAAACTACAGTAGTGCTTGGATTTATCGTCGACTGACGTTTCTAAGCAATCGCGCATGGCTTGCATGTGCACCTGCTTTGTACGTTAGAACGGCTTGCAAATGGTCACATCTTAGCTATGCATAACTGTTCGTGTCATTACCAAAATTATTTTACCAATTGCATTACATTACGCGACAGTGACTTACCTTTGTAGAGGGCGCTTAGGTCTTTTATATTTAAAAGGGAAAATAATTTCACTCATTATATTTATTAGGAACAGATGAGCCTTTATCATATTTATGTCCAAACGCTAAATCCGTTCATCAGTGCGTCTGATGTCCAGTCCAGAATGCCGATATGCATGTCCAGGAAAAGCGGAAGTATTCCTTTCGATTATCTAGACTATGTTGCTCAAACGTGTCTTTGAAAATTAAGAACACTAATGTTCCCGCATCTGAATAATGGCTACTCACCCTCGTGTTAGCCGATGACGAAGACACAAAGAAGTACTTAGTTGAAAATAAGAGCTTTCAATTGTGCATTACGTGAGGCTAATCGTCCTTTTACAAGTGGTTAACTACTAAAGAATTGACGACCCGTGAAGATCCGGGGTAGAATAGGTCTTAAGCAACCCATGTTTGCCAAAAAGGCTACTATGCTTGTAAGAGTCGCCTACCGGGATCGGGTTGTCAGACTCGCTGACTTAGTTGATGCATGTCATCGTATCCCAATTGCGTGGATCGATGCTCATGATGTCAATCGCTGGATTGTCTGGTTCAGACTTGATTATCTACAGACCGCCGTCATATAGCTGGAATATTGCTGTGCTGCGTTAAACATCAATCAAACAAACAAACAAACAAACATACATAAATGAACAAAGACGCCTTGATAGGTTGTCATAGAATTCAAAGTGTTAACATTGCATAGACATGTTGTACAACAGTTTGAGGATTGTATCCCGTTCCACGTCCTACACAGGTGGGGGATCATCCGCTGGGCAGGCAAGGTCTAGTCACGTGGTGTCTGTGAAGAGGACGTAATTTGGGTGACCACGTGACATGGATGCGGGAGAGTGTTCGGTCAGTGCCCGGGAGCTGCCTGACGGTCAGTACAAAACATCATCTAGCACTGTGAAACACGAGGCCGTGCCTTATGAAACACGTCACCATGCATTGTAAAATATGTCCATCATGAATTGTAAAACGCGTCACCAAGCATTGTGAAACACGACGCCATGCATTGTGAAACACAACATCATGCATTGTGAAACAAGTGCCCATGCATTGTGAAACACGTCACCAAGCATTGTGAAACACGACGCCATGCATTGTGAAACACGACGCCATGCATTGTGAAACACGACGCCAGACATTGTGAAACACAACACCCGTCATTGTAAAACACCAAGCATTGTGAAACACGACACCATGCATTGTGAAACACGACACCATGCATTGTGAAACACGATGCCAAGCATTGTGAAACACGACACCATGCACTGTGAAACACGACGCCAGGCATTGTGAAACACCAAGCACTTTGAAACACGTCACCAAGCATTGTAAAACACCAAGCACTGTGAAACACGACACCATGCATTGTGAAACACGACGCCATGCATTGTGAAACACCAAACATGCATTGTGAAACACGACACCATGCACTGTGAAACACGACACCATGCATTGTGAAACACGACACCATGCACTGTGAAACACGACACCATGCATTGTGAAACCCGACACTATGCACTGTGAAACACGACACCATGAACTGTGAAACACGACTCCATGCATTGTGAATTACCATCATCGTGCATAAACGCTATAAAAAGTGAAAAAAAACACCAGTGAATGAATTAGTTAAGAATAAGCGTCGCATCGTCAATATTTCATACCAATATCCAACCATACACTGTGAAACACGACACCAATTTGTGAAACATCACTTTTGCTAACCACAACACTTATGGAACATGCATTGTGAATCACAAGAGTCCATGCATAAGACAAAGCACTAACACCCACTGCCTGCACCGGAGAGTCGTCCATGTCGTGCTGGGGGGGGGGGGGGGGGGGGGGGGGGGACTTGGTCGCCCAGCGGCATCAGGAACCCATCCACTGTTCTGTTGCGTGTTATGATCGACCGACACTCTAACACCCACTCAATCTTCCACGCAAACACACCCATCCGCACACTCACGCACTCACCTACCCAACCATCCGCCCGCACACTCACTCACTCACTCACTCACATTCTCTCTTTCACAGTTCGGTGGTATAAATCTCGTCGCTACCTTATAGCAGTCATCCTGTTCTTGGGATTCTCACTGCAGAACACACTCAGGTCGAATCTTAGTATCGCCATCGTGTGTATGGTGAGGCATGACGTCACAAATACGTCACTGACTGACGTCAATGGGTCGTCGTCTTCGGTTCCTGGAGAGCAGTGCAGGTCATGGAGGAACCAAGGCGTAAATGAGACCGAAGACGAGTTGGTGAGTTTGTTATATTTATCCTCAACAACGGAAACAAATACTCAACATATGTTATCGCTCCCAGCCCCAACTGCGTGGATCGATGCGCATGATGCCAATCACTGGATTGTCTGGTCCAGGCTCGATTAGTTACAGCCACCCATCATAATGCTAGAATATTGCTGAATGCGGCGTTAAACAACAAACAATCACTATACAACCAGTCTTAATTATCCGCCGAAACAGATTCCATTGCGCGTAAAGAGCAAAATAGCTGTGAAAATTAAATTTTGGTAAGATCAGCTCCAGAGATTCCAAGCCATTTTGAGTTTGGTTTGCAAGTACATATAAACATCAATGAACTATCCAAAAAGTATCGAAAATGAAAAAAATACTTTATAGCAGAAGACCCATATCTATCTGCCCCAGAAACGGCCAGAATGTCTTTCTAAGATGTCTTGGTATATTAAACGTCTCCAATATGGCAAAGGATACATGTCTTATTGACGTATCATGCCCCAAACCATGAAATATTCTACAGTTTGCTAAGTTAATTGATATGACATTGATGATGATGGTCTGGAGAGACGCACGAATAAACAACATGTTTGTGTTCGGGCATTGCGATGTTCCACACCTTTATATATGATAACAACCCTATCGACAAGGTTCTCACTATGTAGGGAGCTGAGATTTAAGTTCGAGTGCATATTGATCAATTGACCGGAATACAACACTTTAAGTATGCTTTAGGGTATTGTTGTTTTTGTTGTTATAATTATTATTTCTTCATTGTTTGCATATGTACCCGGGGTAGAATAGGTTTTCAGCAACCCATGCTTGCCGTAAAAGGCGACTAACGGGATCGGATTGTCAGGCTCGCTGACTTGGTTGATGCATGTCATCGTATCCCAATTGCGTAGATCGATGCTCAAGATGTCAATCACTGGATTGTCTGGTTCAGACTCGATTATTTACAGACCGCCGTCATGTAGCTGGGATATTGCTGAGTGCGACGTTAAACAACAAACCAACAACAACAACAACCAGAGCATACGTACCCACTTGCTTCTATTTTTGGAAAGGTTTATATACACACCAGTCTATGTTCGGTATGCAGCAAGGGGAATTCACGTGGTCGAAGGAGCTGCAAGGAGTTCTTCTCGGTGGCTCTTTCTGGGGCTGCCTGGGTATGCTCATTTCCGGTGGCTGGCTGAGCGAACGTTTCGGTGCCACCAAAGTTATCGCCCTTGGTATGATCCCTACTGCCATAGCAACCATCCTGTCCCCGGCAGCGGCAAGGATCAGCCCCTACTTCCTGCTGTTCCTCAGGATCACCGTTGGGTTCTGCTCCGTGCGTTTTCACTCTCTTTCTAAAATATACTACTCAGGAAAATTTAAAGAACACCCGACTTTTTTCGTATGACTATAGTTTATCTGTCATGACATAAAATATTAACTATAGACATGTGATAAAAATCGGGTATTCTTTAACCTCTTGTGAAAAGAATATATATATATATATATATGCATAATTCCATGAGTCTGTTGCAATACTATGGTCTTCTTCTTCCGCGGATGCAGTGTAGCAGCCAAGTGGTTAAAGCGTTCGCTCATCACACCGACCCAGGTTCGATTCTTCACATGGGTACAACGTGTGAAGCCATGGTATTGCCCGCCATAACATTCCTGGAATATTGCTAAAAGCGGCGTAAAACCACACTTACTCAATCACTCATATGTGATAGTATCGCTCCTATCGTGGTAGGATAGCCGAGTGGTTTAAGCGGTGACTAGTCATGCCTCGGCCCGGGTTCGATTCGTCACATGGTTACCTTGTGTGAACACTATCCTTTCTGTGACGTTGCTATGGCTCTAAAACCACACTGACCAAGTTCCTAATAATGTTCCTGTTATTGTTAATTTTTAGAAATAAATTTAGATGAAACATGAGATTATTTCTGAGGTAAATATTTAATATTTGTGGGTTTCGAGGATTGAGGACGCCAAATCACCCTTAAGCTTCGTCGAGTTTATTCTAGTTTATAGTCACATGTTCTAACACTTGTTCTAAGTTGAGGGCGCTATTGCCACAAATGGTTGAAATACTGAAGTAGTGCTGATTGACTGCAATGCAGAAACGTCTGTGAAATATAATAATATTTGGAAACAAGTATGTATATAAATGGCCACAGTACTAATGTCTTACTTATCAGTTATTGAAGTTTTGTTTTTAATTGAATAATTACCTTTTTATAACCCCCACGGTCCCCTGCTCATAACACATGCAGTCTCTTGCACAAAGGGATACAAACAAAACTAAAGCAGAATTACTTCCCTTGTGTTCAGTCGGTAGTGTTCCCGTCTATCCCGGTGTTCTGGGCGAGATGGGCGCCCCCTGATGAGTGGATGAAGCTGCTGGGATTCTCCTTGTCTGGTAAGACCATGGTTCACTGCACTGTGAGCGCAAACAACTGTTGATTCAAGTTTGAATGTCTACCATCATTATCATCAATGTAAGTGGTTGGAATTTCTATAAAAAAAATTGTTCCAGAAGTAACGGAACAAATAATTTGGCCGGCCACTTTATGTCTTGAAGAAGTGGTAGAAACACTTTTATGTCTCTGACTAAACTCCCATCTGTGATTTCGTCGTGATAACAACAATGTACAATGTTTAGATTTGGCATTTTGGTGGTTTTTTTTGTCAATTAATTACTTTTTCATTTACAGTCTGCTAGGTGTTAATATGATATATCGTCAGTAGTGACGTCACATACAATGCGTGTGTTCTAATTACAAACATGTAGAAACGCTGTGAAAATGTAGACACCGCCCAATACAACCCGCCTCAAATCAACACTAACGGACCGAAAGGATTATTAGTTTTATATAAATATAATTCCCTGGAAGAGATGGTATTTTATGCAGTATATTACCGTTCTATTATAATAAATACTGTATTTCCTCGAATACACCCCGGGTCTCGATTAAAAGCCGGGCCTCGATTAAACGCCGAGTAATTTTTCACGCCATTATTATCTTTGCGATTAAACACTGGGGGTAAAGCGTGACTGAAAGAAATATACTTCCGAGCGTCAAATTGAGGAATTATGGTAACTCCCTACAGTAATTTTCTCGCACATGTGTGCTCTTTGATTGGAGGGCCATATTTAGCGACGTGTCTTCGAATCGGACTCAAAACTACTCTGTAGTAGAGAATCGGTCCAAGGTAGTAATGATAATAGAATGGAGATATACTACCCTGCATTAACGAGGATGTACGGACGCCCATTATCCTCTGTGGTCTGTTTTCAGGGGGAGAGACTGGCAACGCGTATGGCCATCTCCTGAATGGCTTCCTCTGTCGATATGGCTTTGCTGGAGGTTGGCCTTCCATCTTCCACGTCACAGGTTGGTATTGGAGTTATATTCAGGCAGTATTGAATACTAAATTCAAAATGTCTTTTGTTTAAAGAATACCTAAAATACAAATAAGTTAACATTACGACGTGTATACATTGTATGGAAATGCATATAAATTACATGCACGATATTTTGTCATGATGATGATTATGATAATGTCGACAAAGGCTTCGCAATTCTCTGCAGAGTTGCGTCCCATAGTCATGACAAATACCTATGATCATTGGTTCGAAACCCAGATTCGCCCTGTTACGATTATTATATGTGTCAGCATCATACCCCTGGCCATGGGATTCTCTAAGATGGTGGGGCGATCGGGTAGCCTAGTGGTTAAAGCGTTCGCTCGTCAGGCCGAAGACCCGGGTTCGATTCCGACATGGATACAATGTGTGAAGCCCATTTCTGGTGTCCTCCGCTGTGATATTGCTGGAATATTGCTCAAAGTGGCTTAAAACCATACTCACTCACTCTAAGATGGTGTTTTCTGCATCACTTCGGGCTTTCCTCCCATACTAGCCTGACACGTTGTGTTGTACTGCTAAAAGCGGTGATAAACTCACTCACTCACTCACTCACTCACCCACTCACCCACCCACTCTCTGTTTAGGTGGGGTGTGTCTGCTATGGTGCATCGTGTGGTCAGTCATCGTCAGTGATTCTCCCGGGCAGAGCAGATGGATATCGGACACTGAGCGGAGGTACATTGAATGGAAGGTCCGAGACAGACTCAAGTCGAAACGGGTAAGACAGAAATTCAACTGACAACATAAAGTCTTCTCATTGGCAGGTAGAAAATAACATTTAATTTATAACATTTAATATTAGGTGAGCAACGTTTTGTGTTTTCAGATTTGAGAGTTTTGTTGAGTATTAGATGCCTGGACAGTTCATTTGAAACCGCCCTCGTGACGATCCTGCTCAGAATTCGTCTTCAGCAACCCATGTTTTTCGGAAGAGGCGGCTCACAGGATCGGGTGGTCAGGCTCGCTGACTTGGTTGATGCATGTCATTGTATCCCAGTTGCATGGTTGTATGATTGACTGGTCTTGACTCTTTTATTTACAGAACGCTGTCATATAGCTGAAATATTGCTGTGTGTGCTTTAACATTTGGAACCGACGACGTCATCATACGAACAAAACTATACATGTAGGATATATGTAGGATCATGGGGAAATCACTCCAATAGATGTATGACCTGATGACAACCACCAGCCGATCATGTGTTACCATTTCAGTGTTGCTTTTGTACACAAACAGATTAACATGTTCTGAGAAAATATTAGTTTTCATTTATATAATATTGCACTAAATTTGGAGTGTAACTAAAGTTGCTCTGTGCAAGAGGCCCGGTAAGTATATCATGACGTCATAATCTTTGATGTGACGTCAACTGACTGTGGTTTCACACACAAATACTGTATTTCACAGAAATCAATTCTTTGCTCGATTGATAAACTCATTCTTGTGTTGGGGGCAGTCGCCCAGTCGTCTGAGTGGCGTCCCTTAAGCCCCTTTACACAGGGATGCGACCTTTGTGCCACGTTTGAGCGATCAAAAACTGGCCAGGACGTTCAATGGTCGCCTTAACCCAGAACATTATGTTTCCATGAAACTGTTCCAGGAGTTGTTCAGCGTCTGCAACCACAATGAAACACTGCAGGTACACGCCCTCTATTCATAGGCAGGCTGAGGAGGCATTACAGGTAGCTCAAAGGAGGCAGAAAAGAGGCAGAAGCATTGCCATGGTGTCTCAAGGGTTACCGTGCTCGCCGAATTGAGGCACGGCTGTCGCTACAGTCATCGTTCAATGCACGCTGTTGGTCGCCCAAAGGCGGCACAAGGGAGGCAGAAGCATCAACCAGATTGACGGGGAAAATTACCTGGCGACAATTGGGCGACCACTGTGCCTTCATTCTGCAACAACGGCAATGCTTGTGCCGTCCTTCTGCCTCCTTTGGGCCACCTTTGAACAACCAATCTCCTTGGCGACCTTTGAGCGACTGTTTTGAACATGTTGAAAAATTACTGATTACGTGATATTACTGGAATACTGGAAGCAGCGTTAAACCTAACTCTCTCGTTACCTGTGTCAGTAGCGAGGTGTTCGGGCTAGTACATCGTCATACAAGGATCTTCAGCAACCCATGCTTGCCGTAAAAGGTGACTATGCTTGTCGTAAAAGGCGATCCCAATTGCGTGGATCGATGCTCATGATATTAATCACTGGATTGCCTAGTCCAGACTCGATTATTTACAGACCGCCGTCATATAGCTGGAATATTGCTGAGTGCGGCGTTAAACAACAAACCGACCAACTCATCACACCAGGAAACACACACCGTGTGTTACCTCTGTTACAGAAACAGAGTACCCCTTGGCTGTCCCTCTTGGGGTCGGGGCCAGTATGGGCTTTGGTTCTCACCCACACCACAGCCAACTTCTTCCTCTATCTCCTCTTCACCCAGTTACCATCCTATCTGAACGAGGTCACGGGGGTCAACTTCACATCGGTAAGCGTTTGTAATATTAGTGGAACAGCGTCTTACGAGTCATTTCCCCCTGAAGAACCGGGGTAGAATAGGTTTTCAGCAAAACATGCTTGCCGTAAGAGGCGACCAACAGGATCGGGCGGTCAGGCTCGCTGACTTGGTTGATGCATGTCAACGTATCCCAATCGTGTAGATATCGCCCATGATATCTATCACTAGATTGTCTGGTCTCGACTCGGTTATTTACAGATCGCAATCATATAGCGAGTCATTAATAGCCCCGTAATATACTCTCCAAAAATATACCCTCCCCCAATCGGGCAAATATTCGTTTATACGGCTCGACATGGTCCGAATCAATGTCTTATCCACTGCTCTTGCAGCGCCTAATCCAGTTCGGCTAACGTAGCGAGCGAACTTTGACGTCAGCGTCTCCCGACCATGACCCAGCTGCATGGGGGATAAGTCAGGAATTATCGCTGGTCATTGCATTCTGGTGATATGATGTTTTTGCTGTTGGGGGTAGTCAGTTACGATACGTGCCAATCTCATTAAAATCAGATCTTAGTTTTCGCTACCGATGAACAAAGATCTGAGGACATCCTATTACGGGTCACGTCAGAACGACCTTTCGCGAATTTTGACCGACCAATGAAATGAAGAAGGCAGCTTTCTCGAGCTTTACGAAACTAGTTTCAAACTGGCGACTACGCCTCGAAACATATTTTGACAAATTCTCGCTTAAAAAAATTAAAACTGACAAGAAGAACATTCTGGAATGGCTTACAGATGGCCTAGATTGTATGGATATAATCATAAAACCCGTAACTGTTGTATGGAATACCCCCATGTTAAATATTTCGTGGTTGCATGATTAGAAAACACATTCCGACTGTCACTTTCATGATCTGGTAAGCGACGCTCTGATTGGTTGGATGAAAGGTCGTTCTGACGTGACCCTTAATGGGATGTCCTCAGATCTTTGTTTAGCATAGCGAGAACTAAGATCTGATTTTAATGAGATTGCGATACGTGCACGGTGGGCACGAGCGTTAATGTCTTGAAAGAGGTGAGGTGAAATGGGGTTTAAAGTCGCGTCCAAGATTATTGCACTTATATAGCGACGTGCATGTACGTATGTGTGTTTGTGTTGCTGCTTGTACTAGTCCGGACTGATGCCGATTTATAGTGCTAGCTCACTGAGATACCATGCCGCAGTTTAACATGAATACCCCACTCAGACACAGTATACTGACTCCGAGCCGACCAGTCCTTGTTTTAGCCCCTTAATGCCGAGCGTCAGACAGGGTACCATCTTTTAACGTCTTTTGGTATGACGCGGCCGGGGATCAAACCCCGGACCTTCCGCTCTCCGGGCGGACACTCTACTAGACAACGGAGGCGGTCATTCGTACACGGTAGGCACGGGCGTTAATCTCTTGAAAGACAAAACGTGGACCAGCATGGCGCGCAAACGGCACAACTAATAGCGCCGGTACTAAGTATGCGCTAGTACTGTCCATTGACCCTTCCATAGACAATATGAGGTGGCGATCAACAAACAAACAAATAAACAAACAAACAAACAATCAAAGAAGCTTGTTACATATTTCTTCAATCCAGCTAATGTGTTTCTCACGTTACAGAACGGTGTGTATTCCATGCTGCCTTACGTTTGTATGATCATCGTCATCAACGTCGCTAGTCACGTGTCTGACTGGCTCATCCACAAGGTCAAGTTCACGGTGCGAACAACGCGCAGGCTGATGAACTCTTTAGGTAAGATTCGCCCTGATTATGTTTCTTGGTCGCCAGTGCCATACCTCTGCTCATGGGTTTCACCAACGTGATAAGTGTTGGAGGCTTGCCCTTCGAGCGTTCCTCCCACGTCAAGCTGACACGCTGTAAATTAACAGATATTTTGTTCAAAGCGGCGTTAAACCCAACATACTCACTCACTTTATTTAATGTGGTTTCAGGTTGTATATTTGTTGCGTCTATGTATCAATATAGATTTTCATTTTGTTTTGGGTCAGTATCTTCGCTTTTGGCAGTCTGTGGGGATCTTTAACCTATCTGCAATATAACTCAAGAAAATTTTCTGGTATACTGCACTGAACATGCTGCAATAAAATACGTTTATATCGAACTAACGGATATAACGAAGTATTTTTTTGTCCGAACCGTTTGCTGTATATAATGCTTATAACGAACTACGGTTATGACAAACTAAAATCAGTGGTCCCTTTAAGTTCGTTATAACCGTAGTTTACTGTATTTTAATCGTGACATATGAAGGGAACGCTCTGTTTACTTGTAGGTATGTTTGGATCAGGAGCTATGGTGATCATTCTTGCGCAGGCGCATTGTGGCTGGGAGGGGATGTCGGTGTCAACACTCTGTCTCACCATGGGGGCATTTGGCTTCTGTTTTTGTGGTCACATTTCCAACTTCGCCGACATCACCCAGGCTCACTCCGGGACACTGGCAGGGGTCTCCGACACAATAGCCATCCTGTCCGGCATCGCTGCGCCTTACGTGGTCTCCACCTTAACACCAAATGTAGGTCAGACACTACCAGCGTTAGTTTTCCTACGTCTCCCACCGTAAGTGACGGGCCCAAGTTCGTTTTCTTTATTTGCGTACTGGGGAGGCCACAGGCATATAGTACAGTTAACTACGTTTATAACGAACACGCTTATAACGAACTGACGGATATAACGAACTTACTTTTTTGTCCCGACTAACTGCTGTATTATTCTGTATATATGCTTATAACGAACTACGGTTATCACGAACTAAAATTAGTGGTCCCTTTGAGTTCGTTATAACCGTAGTTGACTGTACATTTATAATTAGTATATCCAGAGCAGTAGAGTCTAAAACATCATATTTGTCCTGTGTCTCATTGCATGATAAATGTGCATAGATAAAATTTATAAAAGTAAGTACTTCGAGTTATTTAACAGAGATGTGAATTTAAAGAAATTGGGATTGACATAGTAATATTCAGGTATATACTTAGCCCTTAATGTGCATAAAATGGGCATATAAAAAGGATGTGATATTCATCTTCAATGTCATTCAGGGCGCACAATTGAACAATGCGTGCACGCGCACACTCACGCATTCCAGTGTTAGTTTTTCCCTCGTCACACACAGAAAGTACACACACACAAACAAGTGTTCGTTTTTCCTCGTCACACACAGAAAGTACACACACAAACAAGTGTTAGTTTTTCCTCGTCACACACAGAAAGTACACACACAAAAACAAGTGTTAGTTTTTCCTCGTCTCACACTGTAAGTAGAGTAACATATGTCTACCTACTTCTTAAACAAATGCTTGCTTGATAGTTACTCTTTAAGAGGTAAAAATGGCATTTCAATACGTTTTGTTGAAAGGATTTACTGCTTAAACGATTTACATTCGGTCAAACCTACACCTTCTCTGTCTGCAAACGTTTATTATGATTCAATTAAGCAGTTGACCGCCTCCGTGGTCTAGTGGTAGAGCGTCCGCCTGGAGAGCGGAAAGTCGGGTACACGTAAAAGATGGTGTAAGGGTAACGCGCTTTTTCAGGGCATTATCATTTGTAGAAGCCCGAGGTTTTCCATTAACTGCCCGACGAAGGAGGGCAGTTGAAAAGACCGAGGGCTCTTGTACTTATATGAACAAAAACTACACCCCACACATTTCTCCAGCCCGTGACAACAGTTTTTGGTTTGTTGTTTTTTGGTCATATTTTTACATCACACGGTACATAATATTTGTTCAAACCGTGATGAGTATTCATTACATCATATACACCATGTACAGTCTGACAATGCATACACAATTCAGTACATGACAAAGATAGTCATTCATGAGCAGAAATCAACCTTGACGTTGTGATGTAGAAAGATATGGTATCCATAAAGGATGCTGCCGCCGAATATACGGCTATTTTAGTCTGAAATACGTGTGTAATTTGAAACCTCTGATTAACCAATCAGAATGGAGTAATTTCCTAATTCAGTTCTTGGAGACAGTAGGGGGTGTAAATATAAATGTACGTTAATATTTGCACATGTGACAACTTCGGGGGTGTAAATGTGGCATTTTGTATTGATTGCTATTTCAGCGGACGAGAGAGGAATGGCAGAAAGCTTTCTATGTGGCAGCTGGGGTGAGCTTTGCAGGGGGCCTGATATTCGCTCTGTTCTCTGACGGGAAACCCCAGCCGTGGGACGTTCACGACCGCTCCACACAAGCAGTCAAGAGAAGACATGATGGCGATTGTCTCCGGGATGAAGAACTGGATATGTATGAATGTGACGTGGCAGCGGCTGACGATGTTGCTGACGTTGGGGATGGACCTTTGGAGACGTCAGCACGCCTGCTGAGGGAAGGGTGTGTGGTGCTGGAGAGGGGACAGAACATGGGTTCTGGAGACACGGGGCAGAAGGTCGTAAGGGGTCAAGGTCATGGTCGAGGCTTGGTTGAAGAAGACGCGGTGGCCGACACCCTGCTCAATCTGCCTAAAGAGAAGAATGTGTCATGTAGAAGAGGTTCAAAATGAATCTTCGTGAATGTCCGGTACTGATTAGATTTTGGTTTGGTTTGGTTTGGTGTTTTACGCCGCACTCAGCAATATTCCAATATTCCACCAATATTATGACGGCGGTCTGTAGATAATCGAGTCTGGACCAGACAATTCAGTGATTTACATCATGAACATCGATCTAGGCAATCGGGATCGATGACATGCATCAACCAAGTCAGCGAGCCTGACCACCCGATCCCGTTATTTGCCTTTTACGACATGCATAGTCGCCTTTTACGGTAAGCATGGGTTGTTAAAGACCTATTTTACCCGGATCTTCACGGGTCGGTACTTGTTAGAGCAACAGCGGACAATATACTTTAAGGTCAGCTAACGGCGTTGACTCGGACAATGTGCTGGTGTGTCCGGTACTGCATCGGACATCAATAGATAATGTACCGGCATGTAAACCAGTAAAACAGGTGTTTACGCGTGGAACATATTCATAGTGAGGTCGTTATCTGTCACGTTTGACTGACCCAAAGGGAACATTGTAGTGTATTGTAGGGCTGTACCTCATGCTTGTGTACTTGTACGAGCCGCACCTGAACTGGAAGGGATATCAAAACACCAACAAGGGATATCAAACATCAGCAACTGCTTTGAAAGATGAACATGGTGATGACGTCACTTCCGATGCTGATAACTGGAATATCGGTGAGATGGGCGTAAAACAACAAACAAAACACAAACATTCCTTTTCATGTACATAATGAGTTTGGTACATACGTAATTTGTTTAAAGTCACAAGAAACTTGCTCGTTAAGATCGAATTAATAAATTTAAGATTTAATTAGCTCATCTTATCCAGATACTACCTCAAGGGTCGTATTCTCTTATAAAGAGGGGGCAAACCCCGGACCTTCCGCTCTCCGGGCGGACACTCTACTAGACAACGGAGGCGGTCATTCGTACACGGTAGGCACGGGCGTTAATCTCTTGAAAGACAAAACGTGGACCAGCATGGCGCGCAAACGGCACAACTAATAGCGCCGGTACTAAGTATGCGCTAGTACTGTCCATTGACCCTTCCATAGACAATATGAGGTGGCGATCAACAAACAAACAAATAAACAAACAAACAAACAATCAAAGAAGCTTGTTACATATTTCTTCAATCCAGCTAATGTGTTTCTCACGTTACAGAACGGTGTGTATTCCATGCTGCCTTACGTTTGTATGATCATCGTCATCAACGTCGCTAGTCACGTGTCTGACTGGCTCATCCACAAGGTCAAGTTCACGGTGCGAACAACGCGCAGGCTGATGAACTCTTTAGGTAAGATTCGCCCTGATTATGTTTCTTGGTCGCCAGTGCCATACCTCTGCTCATGGGTTTCACCAACGTGATAAGTGTTGGAGGCTTGCCCTTCGAGCGTTCCTCCCACGTCAAGCTGACACGCTGTAAATTAACAGATATTTTGTTCAAAGCGGCGTTAAACCCAACATACTCACTCACTTTATTTAATGTGGTTTCAGGTTGTATATTTGTTGCGTCTATGTATCAATATAGATTTTCATTTTGTTTTGGGTCAGTATCTTCGCTTTTGGCAGTCTGTGGGGATCTTTAACCTATCTGCAATATAACTCAAGAAAATTTTCTGGTATACTGCACTGAACATGCTGCAATAAAATACGTTTATATCGAACTAACGGATATAACGAAGTATTTTTTTGTCCGAACCGTTTGCTGTATATAATGCTTATAACGAACTACGGTTATGACAAACTAAAATCAGTGGTCCCTTTAAGTTCGTTATAACCGTAGTTTACTGTATTTTAATCGTGACATATGAAGGGAACGCTCTGTTTACTTGTAGGTATGTTTGGATCAGGAGCTATGGTGATCATTCTTGCGCAGGCGCATTGTGGCTGGGAGGGGATGTCGGTGTCAACACTCTGTCTCACCATGGGGGCATTTGGCTTCTGTTTTTGTGGTCACATTTCCAACTTCGCCGACATCACCCAGGCTCACTCCGGGACACTGGCAGGGGTCTCCGACACAATAGCCATCCTGTCCGGCATCGCTGCGCCTTACGTGGTCTCCACCTTAACACCAAATGTAGGTCAGACACTACCAGCGTTAGTTTTCCTACGTCTCCCACCGTAAGTGACGGGCCCAAGTTCGTTTTCTTTATTTGCGTACTGGGGAGGCCACAGGCATATAGTACAGTTAACTACGTTGATAACGAACACGCTTATAACGAACTGACGGATATAACGAACTTACTTTTTTGTCCCGACTAACTGCTGTATTATTCTGTATATATGCTTATAACGAACTACGGTTATCACGAACTAAAATTAGTGGTCCCTTTGAGTTCGTTATAACCGTAGTTGACTGTACATTTATAATTAGTATATCCAGAGCAGTAGAGTCTAAAACATCATATTTGTCCTGTGTCTCATTGCATGATAAATGTGCATAGATAAAATTTATAAAAGTAAGTACTTCGAGTTATTTAACAGAGATGTGAATTTAAAGAAATTGGGATTGACATAGTAATATTCAGGTATATACTTAGCCCTTAATGTGCATAAAATGGGCATATAAAAAGGATGTGATATTCATCTTCAATGTCATTCAGGGCGCACAATTGAACAATGCGTGCACGCGCACACTCACGCATTCCAGTGTTAGTTTTTCCCTCGTCACACACAGAAAGTACACACACACAAACAAGTGTTCGTTTTTCCTCGTCACACACAGAAAGTACACACACAAACAAGTGTTAGTTTTTCCTCGTCACACACAGAAAGTACACACACAAAAACAAGTGTTAGTTTTTCCTCGTCTCACACTGTAAGTAGAGTAACATATGTCTACCTACTTCTTAAACAAATGCTTGCTTGATAGTTACTCTTTAAGAGGTAAAAATGGCATTTCAATACGTTTTGTTGAAAGGATTTACTGCTTAAACGATTTACATTCGGTCAAACCTACACCTTCTCTGTCTGCAAACGTTTATTATGATTCAATTAAGCAGTTGACCGCCTCCGTGGTCTAGTGGTAGAGCGTCCGCCTGGAGAGCGGAAAGTCGGGTACACGTAAAAGATGGTGTAAGGGTAACGCGCTTTTTCAGGGCATTATCATTTGTAGAAGCCCGAGGTTTTCCATTAACTGCCCGACGAAGGAGGGCAGTTGAAAAGACCGAGGGCTCTTGTACTTATATGAACAAAAACTACACCCCACACATTTCTCCAGCCCGTGACAACAGTTTTTGGTTTGTTGTTTTTTGGTCATATTTTTACATCACACGGTACATAATATTTGTTCAAACCGTGATGAGTATTCATTACATCATATACACCATGTACAGTCTGACAATGCATACACAATTCAGTCCATGACAAAGATAGTCATTCATGAGCAGAAATCAACCTTGACGTTGTGATGTAGAAAGATATGGTATCCATAAAGGATGCTGCCGCCGAATATACGGCTATTTTAGTCTGAAATACGTGTGTAATTTGAAACCTCTGATTAACCAATCAGAATGGAGTAATTTCCTAATTCAGTTCTTGGAGACAGTAGGGGGTGTAAATATAAATGTACGTTAATATTTGCACATGTGACAACTTCGGGGGTGTAAATGTGGCATTTTGTATTGATTGCTATTTCAGCGGACGAGAGAGGAATGGCAGAAAGCTTTCTATGTGGCAGCTGGGGTGAGCTTTGCAGGGGGCCTGATATTCGCTCTGTTCTCTGACGGGAAACCCCAGCCGTGGGACGTTCACGACCGCTCCACACAAGCAGTCAAGAGAAGACATGATGGCGATTGTCTCCGGGATGAAGAACTGGATATGTATGAATGTGACGTGGCAGCGGCTGACGATGTTGCTGACGTTGGGGATGGACCTTTGGAGACGTCAGCACGCCTGCTGAGGGAAGGGTGTGTGGTGCTGGAGAGGGGACAGAACATGGGTTCTGGAGACACGGGGCAGAAGGTCGTAAGGGGTCAAGGTCATGGTCGAGGCTTGGTTGAAGAAGACGCGGTGGCCGACACCCTGCTCAATCTGCCTAAAGAGAAGAATGTGTCATGTAGAAGAGGTTCAAAATGAATCTTCGTGAATGTCCGGTACTGATTAGATTTTGGTTTGGTTTGGTTTGGTGTTTTACGCCGCACTCAGCAATATTCCAATATTCCACCAATATTATGACGGCGGTCTGTAGATAATCGAGTCTGGACCAGACAATTCAGTGATTTACATCATGAACATCGATCCACGCAATCGGGATCGATGACATGCATCAACCAAGTCAGCGAGCCTGACCACCCGATCCCGTTATTTGCCTTTTACGACATGCATAGTCGCCTTTTACGGTAAGCATGGGTTGTTAAAGACCTATTTTACCCGGATCTTCACGGGTCGGTACTTGTTAGAGCAACAGCGGACAATATACTTTAAGGTCAGCTAACGGCGTTGACTCGGACAATGTGCTGGTGTGTCCGGTACTGCATCGGACATCAATAGATAATGTACCGGCATGTAAACCAGTAAAACAGGTGTTTACGCGTGGAACATATTCATAGTGAGGTCGTTATCTGTCACGTTTGACTGACCCAAAGGGAACATTGTAGTGTATTGTAGGGCTGTACCTCATGCTTGTGTACTTGTACGAGCCGCACCTGAACTGGAAGGGATATCAAAACACCAACAAGGGATATCAAACATCAGCAACTGCTTTGAAAGATGAACATGGTGATGACGTCACTTCCGATGCTGATAACTGGAATATCGGTGAGATGGGCGTAAAACAACAAACAAAACACAAACATTCCTTTTCATGTACATAATGAGTTTGGTACATACGTAATTTGTTTAAAGTCACAAGAAACTTGCTCGTTAAGATCGAATTAATAAATTTAAGATTTAATTAGCTCATCTTATCCAGATACTACCTCAAGGGTCGTATTCTCTTATAAAGAGGGGGCACGGGTGGCCCAGTCGTCTAAGGCGCCGCGATTCGCTGTGCAGAGTTGCGTCCCTTGGGCACGCCAGAAACCTATAATTGTGGGTTCTAATCCCGGTTCGCCCCGATTATGTTTCAAGGTTTGTCAGCACCATACCCGTGCTCGTGGGTTTCACCGAAGTGGTAAACGTCTGAGACCTGCATCACTTCGGGCTTTCCTCCCACATTAAGCTGACACGCCGTGATATAACTGCAATACTGTTAAAAGCGGCGTAAAACCCAACTCACTCACTCACTCACTCTTATAAAGAGGATGGTCTTGATGATGACCGGAAGCTGCGGACATCCTTGGTTCTCCAGACATCCAGTGGAAGCCATTCCATAGAGCAGTGCCAGCTCTGCAAACGGCTCTGTTTCAATACGTTGGAGGGGCGGTCGGTAGCCTAGTGGTTAAAGCGTTCGCTCGTCACGCCGAAGACCCGGGTTCGATTCCCGACATGAGTACAATGTGTGAAGCCCATTTCTGGTGTCCCCTGCCGTGATATTGCTGGAATATTGCTAAAAATGGCGTAAAACCATACTCACTCACTCACTCACTCAATACGTTGTTGGTGGCACCTCCGTTATTTGTTGGCCTGCAGGATATATTATTGCGCCCGTTCAGTTTAGTGACACCTTGTAAGTTCTTGAAGGTTTACATGTGCCAGACCATGGAGTGATTTGTAGACCAATACCAGCACCTTGACCATGACCCCCTGTCTCATTGGCAGCCGGTATGTGGTCGGGCATTCGACATCATGAGATGAGCTTTGCGGCTGCATTTTGCTCACGCTGTACCTTGTTTGTCTTCCTCTGTCACCTCAAAGACCTTCCCATGGGAATTCCTGTGGTCGTTGGTTCCAATACGAGTTTGACCTGATTATGTTTCTAGGTTTGTCAGCACCATACCCATGCTCGTTGGTTTAAACGAAGTGATAAACGTCTAAGACCTGCATCACTTTGGGTTTTCCTCCCACATGAAGCTGATAACCCGTGATATAATTAGAATACTGTTCCAAAGGGCGTTTAACCAAACACATTCAATCAAACTTGTGAAGACAAAATTTATTGTAATCACATTGTGGTTAGTAACATGGGTCATCAAATAAATAAATTACAGAAATTATTAATTTTGAGTGAGTGAGTGAGTGGGGTTCAACGCCGCTTTTAACAGTATTCCAGTTATATCGCGGCGTGTCAGCTTAATGTGGGAGGAAAGCCCGAAGTGATGCAGGTCTTAGACGTTTACCACTTCGGTGAAACCCACGAGCACGGGTATGGTGCTGACAAATCTAGAAACATAATTTGGGCGAACCAGGATTCGAACCCACAATCATAGGTTTCTGGCATGCCCAAGGGACGCAACTCTGCACAGCGAATCGCGGCGCCTTAGACGACTGGGCCACCTGTGCCCCCCTTATTAATTTTGTGGAAGTTAGATACCATACGACATTTTTTATGTTATTGCCAAAAACGTTTTGCCCTTTTGGTTGGATTTCGTTGTTTTCTAGAGTTAATAACCATAATGAAGAAAGATGATTACAGGAATATTGTTTTGTATTGTGTCGGTGAAGAGAACGATGATTCTGAAGTTATGAATTATTTGTTGTTGTCAGCAAAAGTTCCTACATACAGATGTAAAGTAACTGGGCTTAACTGTATCCAATCTAAAAACTGTTCTTGGTGTTAAATTAATAGCATTATTTTGTTTACTTTAAACATGAAAACAATATTCCCTGATATGCCTGTCCACGTGGTGTCGTTGTTGTTGTTTGTTGTTTAACGCATCACTCAGCAATATTCCAGCTATATGAGAGTGGTCTGTAAATAATCGAGTCTGGACCAGACAATCCAGTGACTGATATCATGAGCATCGATCTACGCACTTGGGATCGATGACATGCATCAACCAAGTCAGCCAGTCTGACCGTACAGGGTTGTGAAGACGTGGAATCATGATGTTATAAAATGCTATAAAAAATGTGAATTTTTTTTATGAAGAGATCAATTAACTTGGTTAATTACATGCACAATAAATTGACAAACTCAAAAAGTAAAAGCTTGTTTTTATTTATCTTTTACATTTAATAAAAACGTTCCATTGTAGTCCAGATCTTGTTTTAACTGATTACAAGAAACAGCAAGAAACTCTGATAAGTCACAATAACAACATTCTGAAACTGTATAATTAGGTTTTCACTGCTACATAAAACTAAGCAAATAATCCGAGGATTTCATGAATAGATATTGATCTAACTATCCAGACACAAAACAACCCGTGACAGGCTTGATGCATGCCATCGTATCCCAATTACGTAGATCGATTTTCATGTCAATCACTGGATTGTCTGGTCCAGACTCCATGATTTACAGACCGCCGTCATATAGCTGGAATATTGCTGAGTGCGGCGTTAAACAACAAACACAAACATCAGTATACAACAGTAATGTCCGTATTAACGAGGTTTGACTGTATTTGACCCTTAACACATGGTGGTCGATTATATTAATGAACCGTTGAGACAAAAGATCGCGTTTGTACCCTGACATAACTATTCCAACATAAATGCGCATACAATCCATGTGTCTGGTTAGCACACAAAACCTATCTGTATGAAACGCATTAGCTACAACAAAAAACACATATTCACACCTTTAGAACATTTATTAATAATTTAGTTCCAATGAGTTCACCGGACTACTGTTCAACGTATGCAAACGGGATAACATATGTGACCCACCAGGAGAAAAGGGACCTCATGGTGGTGGGATACAATAGTGTTGTGACGTCATAAAGGCGTTTGACGTCAACTTACTTCAGTGTGCGGACTGTACAAAACTATATTATTCCTCTCTCGTTAGTTCGTAATGTAATAAAAATAATAATTCAAAATATTTCAGCATACATATCCACTTTCAATAAATCAGACATCATATCTAAAAACTGCAATTATTACATAAACAGTTTTAGGTCGGAAATGAGTCCAAATATTTGATGCCATGTATCTCTGTAGTGAGTGAGTGAGTATGGTTTTACGCCGCTTTTAGCAATATTCCAGCAATATCACGGCGGGGGACACCAGAAATGGGCTTCACACTTTGTACCCATGTCGGGAATCGAACCCGGGTCTTCGGCGTGACGAGCGAACGCTTTAACCACGCTACCCGACCGCCCCTGTATCTCTGTAACAAATATGAATTGAAGCTTGAGAATTGACTGTTTGTATTCCTAAGATACTGTAGTTTTATTTGTTTGTTTGTTTGTTGTTTAACGCCGCAATATTCCAGCTATATGACAGCGGTCTGTAAATAATCGAGTCTGGACCAGTCAATCCAGTGATTGACATCCTGAGCATCGATCCAAGCAATTGGGATCGACGACATGCATCAACCAAGTCAGCGAGCCTGACCACTCGATCCCGTTAGTCGCCTTTTACGACAAGCAAAGTCGCCTTTTACGGCAAGCATGGGTTGCGGAAAACCTATTCTACCCCGGATCATCACGGGTCTTCTGTAGTTTTAAAATATAATGAGAAGTCAAAATGTCATTTTTTCACCCATATGGCCCCTTATCCCATGGTTGGTCACATATGTTGTTGAAAGCTTATGGTAGCTATGCCTTAGTAGTTGATTATTACCCTGATTACACACCGAGAACGTCACGCATGACGTTGACGGCAACTTCAGCACCTACACCAGACCATGGACGAGCTTTAGCATCTTTACAAGTTTGGAATGGCTAAGGCCACCCCAGTATGTATATGTGTGTGTTTTACCGTATTCGACGTAATAAGCGCCCCGCTCTAATAAGCGCACACGGCGATATTTGCGTATATATTGGCAAGTGAACAATCCAAATTAGCACCCCTTCCGATTGATCAATGTACACAAGACTTATTTATTCGTGTGTAATACGCACTCGTGTGTTATATGCACCCTTAATTATGGGCAATTAAATTCTGGAATAATATATCTGTCGTATATAAACAGTCAGGCCGTCAGCATAAACCACGAAATTTATCTTTCAACTCTGTTTTTTCCACCAAAATAATATTCTAATAAGAGCCCCCTATTTCTTATTTTGAGAGCGCCCTGGGCGCTTATTACGTCGCATACGGTATACGTACGAAAATACAAGTGTCTATTCCTCAATTGGAGGGTTGCAAATTGCCATCAACAATCGCATACAACTTGGTAGGATGGTATCACAGCGTACACAGACAATGTTATGCGTTCCATGTGTCATTGCCAATGGCACATGTTACGATTTTATGATTACTCTAATAATAAATGAATTCCTATTGGATGAAATAACACCCATCAACTGTAAGGTTATGGAACACTATTCCTGCAGCAGGTAGAAACTGTACATCTACATCCCAATTCAAGACACATACAAAAAGTGCAAGTTATTGCACCTCCATATTTTTCCTATGGTGTTAGAAAGTTGAATATGTATCATACTCGATTAAGATACACGAAAAGCTAGTTAAATTATGATTTATACAGAATACAGATAAAATGTGATCCAATATATCAATGTGGTAATCCATGTGAAAACGCATTTCATTATTTGTTAGAGTGTCCATTGTAAGTCCACCAAAGAAAATCTATGTTAAAAACATTTCGAGACATATTACAGAACAAAAATGTTAAATTAGATTTAGATTAGATTTAAGATGTTAAACGGAAATGAATGTTTGTCCCTTATCGAAAATCAACATATCTTTAAGGCAGTGCAAATGTTTATAAGTCATACAAAGAGATTTGGGTAACACTTTAATGTAAATATACTAGACTCTCATTTGTACATTTCATTAATATCTATACACTCATCTTCTTTTCTGTTTTCCTTGTATATGATTTACTGTATAAGCTTTTGTAAATACCATGGAGAGGGGGTCCTAAGTTGGATAACTTGTTCCCAATCCATTTCAATCTGAATAAAATATGTTTAAAGTAACTAAATAACATCTTGTAAGGTAACAACAAATATTCCCATGTCCCGCTGCCGGACAAAATAAGTTGCTTCGCCTCCTAGACCTTTCTAGGGTTTCGTAGAAAGCAAACTAAGAAACACTTGATGAAGGCAGTAAAACTATCTGAGAGAGTATTTTGATATTTTGGACCCCTCCTTTTAAGAAATGCTGGATCCGCATTTATAATTCATGAAACTGTTCCAACATCAACGGGCTAACGACGACTGTCCCCAAATTGCCTCACCTTAAAGATTAAGGTAAGTTGTTGGCACTGTGCCAACCATTTTCACCGTTAAGGCCGACCAGTCGAGTAGTATGGATATGACCAATCAGATGGCCTGATTCTATGACGACTAATGAGGAAAGATTCTACAGGAGGAAATGTTGGTCTTCCTGTGTGACATACACATACAATGATGTGAGATTCTTCAAGTTGAACTTAATTTATCACATTTGGGTAATATCGTCAATGGGATTAAGACGATCACCGGACAACGTCTTTAACGTAAATATATATGTATGTACATTTATATCCCAAAATATTAACAAGCCTATACAAAATAAACTAATAAACACGTACACGGCAAAATGGCAACAAAAAATATATATCAAAATATATATAACAATGATAATAGATTCTCTCCTCCTTGTATGACAACAGGTAATCTCTCACGACAGGCGCTTCCAATACACATACCATGCACTTCTTTTTCCAGTTTAGATTCTCCGCTCAAAGGGCCACACCCCATTTCTCAGGTAACCCATTTGTGAGATACCTTAAAATCACAAATGCCAACTTAGGTATCTGACAAATGGGGTATGTCTATATTTACTAATTTAAATTCAGCAAGAGGAAAGACGTTTTTGGCAGGAAAATATACACATATTGAACTTCGTTTACATACACGTCATTGCATTTAGCACCAACATGGAGAACACACACGTCGGCTGCAACTTGTTTTTCTTTGAGACGCAGTTAAATGCATTAAATTTTACCTTCATCGTGCGCGTGAGTGACCTTCACCGCAGAATCCTCTAGCTAAGGTCACGTGTTGGATGACCGTTATGTCAATACACTCGCAGATGTACGTTAGTTTCAGGTAAGGTCATGTATATCTTTGTTTATTAATGCATGTGTTTACAAATACGGGTCGGTGGTTGTGTAGAATAGGTCTTCAGCAACCCATGCTTGCCGTAAAAGGCGACTATGCTTGTCGTAAGAGGCGACTAACGGGATCGGGTGGTCAGGCACGCTGACTTTGTTGATGCATGTCATCGTATCCCAATTGCGTGAATCGATGTTTTCAATCACAGGATTGTCTGGTCCAGACTCGATTCTCTACAGACCGCCGTCATTGAGCTGGAATATTGCTGAGTGCGGCGTTAACCAACCAACGGTGGTTGTGTACAATTGTTTCACAAGCGATCTCTTACTTATTGATGTTTTAGTAGTGGCTACATCGAGTCAAGAGTTGCTTCCCTTAGATACAGATCAACTTTGGTCGATCTGTTTATAAACATATTGTTTACAAATATGATAACAGACGCGACGGGAATAAATAGTTGGATCGACTTATCGTAAACCAAATAGTCGGAAAACCCTAACCAGGCATAGGTGTGCCTTTACGTCACGCTTCCGTTACGACCAACGCATGCGCATTGGCTAGGTGACAGTGGACGGTACAATTGTCTGTCTATACTTCAGTGGGCCTCAATAGGGTTGGCTTCGACTAAAAAGACCTGCTATAAATGTCGGAAGGGTGGACAAGGAGATATATGGCAAAAAAATACTTTTGCATGGGGCTAGTCTCTTGTAAATATATAATACTTATGCATTCATATGAAGCTTCTACATGTAGTATTTGGGAGATCAACGTTGGTCCCTTTGATTAATATCTACTTTCGACTGGACGGTGGGCACAGGGACGGACCTAAGTTCCCAACGCAATCCTCAGATATGCTAGTCACCTGTATCCTCAAACACCACCTGTATCCTCAAACACCATCTGTATCCTCAAACACCATCTGTATCCTCAAACATCCTTCCTGTCATTCGTCATGAGCGTCCGTCCCGGGTGGTCCTGATCTCCGTTCTGGCCCTCCTCTGTGATGTCGTTCAGTTTGAACGTCACCATGTTGTCTTGTTCACCGGCGTTGTTCATGTCGCCGGCCTCAGCCCATGGCTGCACGTTGCCCATCGCCATAAACAGGTAGAAGATAGCCCCGAAGCAGTATATAGCCGCGGCTACGTAGAAGGTTGACAGCCATTGTTCTCTCGTTCCCTGTGAAAAGAACAGTGAGTGAGTGAGTGAGTTGGGTTTGACGCGCTTTAAACAGTATTCCAGTTATATCACGGCGTGTCAGCTTAATGTTGGAGGAAAATCCGAAGTGATGCAGGTCTCAGACGTTTACCCCTTCGGTGAAACCAACGAGCACGGGTATGGTGCTGACAAACCTAGAAACATAATCGGTTCGAACCGAGATTCGAAACCACGATCATAGGTTCCTGGCTTGTCCAAGGGACGTAACTCTGCACAGCGAAATGCGGCACCTTAGACGACTGGGTCACCCGTGCCCCGAAACACAGATGAGAGTGAACACCTTCCGGTTACCTGTTCGAAGTGTAACAGACAGCTGTGACTGTCACGGCAGGAGTAACAGGAAGAATGACACTTAAAGAACTTAGGCCCTACTGTTTTGTTTGTTTGTTGTTTAACGCCGCACTCAGCAATATTCCAGCTATATGACGGCGGTTTGTAAATAATCGAGTCTGGACCAGACAATCCAGTGATTGATATCATGAGCATCAATCCACGCAATTGGGATCGATGGCGTGCATTGACCAAGTCAGCGAGCTTGTGGTCCTACTGGAATTTGAAAGTCCCTTTATATGCTGTTGTGAGACTTATCAGACATGTTCAGTAGCGAACAATTGGTCTTTATCTTCCCTATACTTGCAAGTTTTGAAATTCTTACATCATACAACTACACAAAAGTGGATAAAATGAGTGAAAATTAAGGACTATTTTTTAATCAACGAGAAAAAAATTCATAATGCTCAAAGCCATTTTCCGAGATGGATCTTTTACCGTGAGTTTGTACTGTAATTTTCTAGATGTCCTAACAAAATCAGCTAGGGTCAAAGAATTGGTCATATTCAAATATTAGAAATAAATAATTCCCGAAACAGATAAAATCAGCTTTTTCCACACATTATAGAATTACAAACATGTATCTTCACATTACGTAGTCTAATCACCTCACACGAAATTCACATTGCGCAGTGATACGTGGACTTAAAGTACAAACTACTTTTGTAATAGTTACTGCACTTACATCTTTGGTCATGGCTCCGACGATGTAGGGCGCAAGGATACCTGGAACTGTAGCTGCGGTGTTGGTGATCCCGAAAATAGTCCCGGCATACTGTGGCGCGACATCCCCGTGGTTGATGAAGTGGCCGCTGAAGTGGAAGCCGCAGAGTCCCACCGCCAGCGTCACCATGACGACAGCTCCGGCCTGCTGGGTGCAGTCCATATATCCTGTCCCAATCAGGAACATTGCAGGAGCTATTGTACCTGTGTGGATGGAGGTGATGGATGAAGACACAGGTGAACATCATTATCTGAAAACACTGATCGATGTACCATTTTCATTTCATAATACTTGACTGGACATCCTTGATTGTTATTTGTCGAGTCAGGACCAAACAAACCAGTGATTGATAACATGATCACCGATCCATCGCCTCTAGGGCCTATTCTAACACGGGATCCCCAGTCAATAATACTAGATGTATAAACAGTTTCAATCTTTCAACTATAGTCTGTCCCATAACTATTCTCGTTTGAGAATATCGTCACGCCGAAGACCCGGGTTCGATTCCCGACATGGGTACAATGTGTGAAGCCCATTTCTGGTGTCCACCGCCGTGATATTGCTGGAATATTGCTAAAAGCGGCGTAAAACCATACTCACTCACTCACTCGTTTGAGAATACAGTTAATAACATCATATTTGGTGTAACAAAAATCAATTGATTTGAAAAGGATTGATTATGAAATGCCACGAAATACGTTTCATAGTTAGCAACAAAATTATTTCTAGTATATACATATATTCTTTTGAAGAAGTGGTGATTTTTTTTTAATAACGATATTCATGTGTGTATTGTGAGAAAGATTACATAGTGGAAAGTGTTCCAAAAAGGCCACAATACATTATCAATTAGATTTAACTATATGTATCATATATATTATATTTAATTTTTCAAGACATCTGTGTACAATAACTGTCTCGGATGTGTAGGTACAGAGGGCCAATACAATGATGTTAGGTGGGAAGTTGGCCCAGAGTGGCGGGGATGAAAATCACATAATAATTTATTATGGCGTAATGAACTGTACGTGCAGATGCATACCGATACAGGTCATCAGTTTGCGGGTCCAGGCCACACTGAGGATGTTCCGGGATATGAGCAGGTCGGCCAGTGCCCCGGAGACGGTGATCAAGAACCAGAAACACAGGTAGGGCAGCATGGAAAACAGGCCGTTCTGAAACACAGGTAGGGCAGCATGGAAAACAGGCCGTTCTGAAACACAGGTAGGGCAGCATTGAAAACAGGCCGTTCTGAAACACAGGTAGGGGAACATAGAAAACAGGCCGTTCTGAAACACAGGTAGGGCAGCATGGAAAACAGGCCGTTCTGAAACACAGGTAGGGGAGCATGGAAAACAGGCCGTTCTGAAACACAGGTAAGGCAGCATGGAAAACAGGCCGTTCTGAAACACAGGTAGGGGAGCATTGAAAACAGGCCGTTCTGAAACACAGGTAGGGGAACATAGAAAACAGGCCGTTCTGAAACAGGGAGACGGGGAGCATAGAAAACAGGCCGTTCTGAAACACAGGTATGGGAGCATTGAAAACAGGCCGTTCTGAAACACAGGTAGGGCAGCATGGAAAACAGGCCGTTCTGAAACAGGGAGACGGGGAGCATAGAAAACAGGCCGTTCTGAAACACGGGTATGGGAACATAGAAAACAGGCCGTTCTGAAACACAGGTAGGGCAGCATGGAAAACAGGCCGTTCTGAAACAGGGAGACGGGGAGCATAGAAAACAGGCCGTTCTGAAACACGGGTATGGGAACATAGAAAACAGGCCGTTCTGAAACACAGGTAGGGCAGCATGAAAAACAGGCCGTTCTGAAACACAGGTAGGGGAGCATTGAAAACAGGCCGTTCTGAAACACAGGTAGGGCAGCATGGAAAACAGGCCGTTCTGAAACACAGGTAGGGCAGCATGGAAAACAGGCCGTTCTGAAACAGAGGTAGGGCAGCATTGAAAACAGGTCGTTCTGAAACACAAGTAGGGCAGCATGGAAAACAGGCCGTTCTGAAACACAAGTAGGGCAGCATGGAAAACAGGCCGTTCTGAAACAGAGGTAGAAAACAGGTTGTTCTGAAACACGGGTAGGGCAGCATGGAAAACAGGTTGTTCTGAAACACGGGTAGGGCAGCATGGAAAACAGGTCATTCTGAAACACAAGACGGGGTAAACACTGCTTTGAACAGGATTCCTGTTATGTCACGGCGTGTCAGCTGAAATAGGAGGAGAGCGTTAAGTGAATACTTCTTCGGGCACTGCTGCAAGACAATATTTATAAGATGAACGAACATCTTTTCACAACGCACTTACCCTAACAAGGTCTGCTTTCTCAGTTCATCAGAAATGTATAGAATTGTAGGCAAAATATATTGTCAATATTTTCTGGAACACATAAGCACTAATATCGTTCTAACTAACCAGCCGATCGAAACCACATACAGCACATCTTGGTACAGCAAAGGGACGCAACTCCGTCGAGTGAATTGTGCGCATAGGATCTCTAAGTGACCCGTGACCCGTGACCCGAACAGAAGGACTGGCAACGGGCAAACAGAAGCAGTGTTGACGGACATAACAATGTTATTTCGTCGCTGTAGGCTTTGGGCTGGTTTATAACAAGAAACAACTTGTCAAGGAGGTGAAACTTACTGCCTTAATATCGAACTTGAGCACATCTTTCATGTATGTTGGGAGTTGCGTCAGCAACATGTAAATCCCGTAGTTGCCGCACACGTGGGCGACGATGATGGCCCACACGGCACGGGACGTGAAGATAGACTTCCAGGGAGTGGTCTGTGGAAGAAGTATTGAAACCATGAAATCGTTGACATCACTATCTGATAACCCAGGTATAAAACACATAAGTTATCAACAACCAAAATATCAACCATGTATATATATGTAATATATGATTGTGGGTTCGAATCCCGGTTCGCCCCGATTATGTTTCTAGGTTTGTCAGCACCATACCCGTGCTCGTTGGTTTCACCGAAGTGGTAAACGTCTGAGACCTGCATCACTTGGGGCTTTCCTCCCACATTTAGCTGACACGCCGTGATATAACTGGAATACTGTTAAAAGCGGCGTTAAACCCAACTCACTCACCCAAAATCAGAAGCAACCCCTTCACATTATTTACTCAAACTCATTGCGAAATACGTCTAATGTAAGTAGTTCAACGTAAAATCAGAAAGTTCCGTGCGTCTCCCTTCCTCAGAAGAATAATAACGTCACTATCGACAATGTAAACGTTGTATAAAATGCAAGCGTCCATGACACCCAAAAGATGGGTACACTGGTGGCGACTACGACCGAACCACAAAATTGTAGCCTTGTTCGGAAAGGGTGGAAACTGGACTTTTACAGTCAGTTAACTCCTTTGCCTGGGGAGATGGGTCGTTGCTCATTTCAATCACTGGATTGTCTGGCCAGGACTCGATTAGTTGCAGGCCGCCGTCATATGTCTTGAACATCTCTTAGTGCAGCGTTAAACAACAAACACACAACCCTGCAGGGGGTGCGTGGCCCACCTACCCGCTTGCCTCTGTTCAGTGGTCCAACAGAGTACTCGATGTACTTCCTCTCTATCTCCGAGATCCTCGGTGAGTCGGCGGGGGAGTTGCTGGCGAAAATACACCAGAATACACACCAGATGAACCCCACGCTTCCTGAAAATGTCATGTCCTGATTAAATGCCTAGTTACAAGAAAAACTAGCTGTTATGTTTGTGTTTGTTCGTTGTTTAACGTCTCACTCAGCAATATTCCAGCTATGTGACGGCGGTCCGTAAAAAAATCGAGTCCGGACCAGACAATCCAGTGATTGAGATCATGAGCATCGATCTACGCAAATGTGATACGATGACATGCATCAACCAAGTCAGAGAGCCTGACCAACCGATCCCATTAGTCGCCTCTCACGACAAGCATAATCGCCTTATACCACATGCATAGGTTGTGGAAGAAATATTCTAACCCGGATCTTCGCGGGTACAAAAAATCAATTAAGCGCCAAGTAACGACAGTGGTATGTGAGACACGACAAGGAGGTTTTGTTTTTGTCGAGTAAGGTGTTGAACGTGCGAAATTAACCAGGCGCCGGTTGGGTCGGTCCACTTCTGTATAAGGGAGACAAACCAGTCGATATTTTTAATGGATCGATATTTGATATATTTTCACAATATGTTTTACACATTTGTGCCTTATTTGATAGGAAAGCTTATGGTGGCATTAATTGTTTTAATCGAAATTTCTCGTTATTTCAATTATTTTCTCGAAATTTCGTTACATGGATTATTTTCTCGTTATTTCAGTTATTTCCTCGAAATAACGAGTTTGTTTTCGTTACTTCCAAATATTTTCTCGTTATTGCAAGTTTATCTAAAAACTCGAAATTTTGATTGTTTCCTCGTTATTTTGATTATTTTCTCGTTGCTTTGATTTTTTCAAGTAATTTCGATTATCTTCTCGTTATTTCAAGTTTATTTGAAAAATTCGAATAAAATCGAAATTACGAGATATAAAAGTCGAAGTATCGAGAAAAGGGGTAGCGAGAGAAAATATGAAATTACGAAAAAATAATCGAAATAACGAGAAAAAACTCGAAAATAACAAATTATTGAAATAACGAGAAATTTCGATTTAAATATAAATATATATATGTAACCAAAGTGGCACAATTATGCTTTCATAATTTGACGGTATCTAACCTTGATAAAACACTCCTCCTCGGTTATTCATGGTATTATAAACCACAGAGAGTCTCGGGAGCATGACCTCGGTCTTACTTTCTTCCCTGAGGTTTTACAATCCCAAACATAACCTTGAAGTCGATTGTATGCCAGTATGTGTCGATGTCTATCCGTGTCCGTGGGATTCAGCAAATCGTCATTCTGGACTTGCCTTGAACATTAAGCTGACATGCCGTGGTATAACATTAGAACTGTACAAAGCTGTTTGAAAAACCCACCTCACCACCCACAACATCTGGCCGTCTTACCTATAACATAAAACACAGAGGGCCAACCGCCGTCGAAGCCGTATGCACACAGGTAGCCACCGACGGGGAAAATCATGGCGTTGCCAAACTGACCACCTGAAAGATGAAAAAAAAGACTTCGACTTAAAATCAACAAGTTTGAACCAATATACTGAACAAAAAGTTAGGAATCATGAATATTTTTTATTTATTTTTTTATTTTTATTTTTTTGGGGGGGGGGATGTTATAAAATTGTGTGCTCCAACTTGTTTTGTTCAGCATATATATGTGTTATGTCGGCAAATTTTGCTTCAGAAGATGTGGATGTAGGCGTCCCTTTCTCTTTGTTGTTCATAACGTTGAGGGGGCGGTCGGGTAGCCTAGTGGTTAAAGCGTTCGCTCGTCACGCCGAAGACCCTGGTTCGATTCCCGACATGGGTACAATGTCTGGTGTCCCCTGCCGTGATATTGCTGGAATACTGCTAAACGCGGCGTCAAACCATACTCACTCACTCATAACGTTGCGACAGGACGCACAGCATTGCTAGAAGTAGTTTCACGGAAACACTGACCTAAGATTGTCCTAACTTAATTTTCGGCAATATTTATCAATACATGTAAATAAATGTTAATAGATGTATAAACCTGAAATATTTCTCACTATATATCGCCGGATTAACAAGTGTGTAAGTACAGCAGTGAGGGTACCAGCCCAGGGATAACCTACCCGCATACGAGAATCCTATAAGTCGACTTCTTTCATGGGGTGGAGACCATCTCGCCCAGAAGGCCTGTGCTGCTGGGTACAAGACGCCCTGAGACAGAAGGTAAATCATGTAATATCAGTAACTTCAATATGTACTATAAAACACAATAGCAAGGATAACTTCGTTCACGAAACCCAGTGCACATATATAATGTGGTAAATGTAGTAGTGTATTGTTAGTCGCGGCAAACTGAATGAAACGCTCATACAATGTCGAGTGTTCTGATGGTCTGTGGGGATCTGCACTCGGCATTTAGTAAATTAGAGTGATCTCCCTTGGTGGTGTATTCTCTCCCCTAACTATATAAGTCCAGTTTCCACTCTTGCCGAACTAGGTTGGAATTATATATTATATATTTTGGCAGTGTCTTGTTGCTGTCAACGAGGGATGTCTTTATTATCAAGTTACACGTTTTTGTCTCGAAGGAGGAGAATTAACCAATATTTGAGTTGGTCAATTGTTGATGCTAGTTTACTCTGCTGTCAACAATATTACAGTGTTATCCAAGAATACTATAATAAACGAGTTTGGCCCAGGAAAAACAATAGTCGTTATCACGAACAACGACTTACGCCGATTGTTTGCGACACACATAGTGAACACCCGATCCCTATTGCGAACACCAGATCCCTATTGTGAACATCTGATCCCTATTGTGAACACCAGATCCCTATTGTGAACACCATATCCTAATGGTGAACGTCTGATCCCTATTCTGAACACCAGATCCCTATTCTGAACATCTGATCCCTATTGTGAACACCAGATCCGTATTGTGAACACCATATCCCCATGGTGAACGTCTGATCCCTATTCTGAACATCTGATCCCTACTGAGAACACCAGATCCCTATTGTAAATATCCGATCCCTATTGTGAACATCCGATCCCTTTTATAAACACCAGATCCCTATTGTGAACATCCGATCCCTATTGTGAACATCCGGTCCCTATTGTGAACACCCGATCCCTATTGTGAACATCCGATCCCTATTGTGAACACCCGGTCCCTATGGTGAACATCCGATCCCTATTGTGAACATCCGGTCCCTATTGTGAACATCCGATCCCTATTGTGAACACCCGGTCCCTATTGTGATCACCCGATCCCTATTGTGAACATCCGATCCCTATTGTGACACCCGATCCCTATTGTGAACACCAGATCCATATTGTGAACATCCGATCCCTATTGTGAACACTCGATCCCATGTGTGAACATCCGGTCCCTATTTCAGTCGGCGTTTATGCCAAGTATGATGTTCCGGGGACGCGTTTTGATCAGGAATCACCATAAACATCGACAACACTGTCGCCACATTAATGACGAAGGCGAGTTTTTGTCTTGGGAGGCTACGAATATATATAAGATTTATTCCGCTGTTTTTCATCATACCTCCCCTAATCCAACGATGACCCTGACTGCGAGGAAGAGATAGGGGTCAGTCCGCGCAGCAACTGGCGTCAGCAGATTGAAGATGGCCACAGGGAACATTGCAAAGGCCACCACTTTCTTGGAGCCGAACCTCTCGCTGAGCCACCCCCCGGGCACCTGTAGCACGAGGTACCCCCAGAAGAAGGAACCAAGGATGAGACCCTGGAGCTGCTTGCTCCACACAAACTCTCCACCCTGGGGAAATAAAGACAATTGATATATGTCTCAAGTTGACCAATGACTTCCGGAAACAGACCGGCTTGTTTCTAGAGAGTGGGTGAGTGAGTTGGGTTTAACGCCGCTTGAACAGTATTCCAGCTATATCAGGGCGTGTCAGCTTAATGTGGGAGGATAGCCCGAAGTGATGCAGGTCTCAGACGTTTAGCACTTTGGTGAAACCCACGAGCACGGGTATGGTGCGACTGACCTAGAAACATAATCGGGGCGAAACGGAATTCGAATAGTTTCTGGCGCGCCCAAGGGACGCAACTCTGCACAGCGAATTGAGGCGCCTTAGACGACTGGGCCACCACTTGTTTCTAAGGAGTTGACAAATATTATAAAACTAAAAAGACACTGCCCAACCAGTAGGTCGATCCAAGTGCTACATGTTGTTCTTTCTGAAAACTCAAGTGTAAAATTAATGTCCTCTTTCACTATATATTCAACGGGGATTCGGAGTGGATTTTGTCAAGCGACATAAAATTACCATATGTTCCGGCGTGTATTGTTGTTTAGGTGAACAATTGATGTGTTCGTGACGGGTGCTACCGGTTGTGCAGGATACGCTCATATTTTTGCGAGCACCTGGTATAATCACTATTTCATTATGATTCATGAACACATGCTTATGATAAAGTCGGAATCGTACAATGGATCTTTCATCTGAATATGGAAAGGGTTTTGCCACAAGCATGGGATACGTGGGTCTTTTTTTTTCTCCGCAAGATGGCGTCATGTATGACAGGGATTTACAATGTGACGTTTTTAGTCACGTGTTACTTTATATCTTCCAGCCATTTGTTAGGGTTCGATAGGTATCTTTAAATGTGTGAATATGCGTTCCCTACCGTGGTGCTCTTAGAGGAGGAAACCGGACACTGTTCTTCTTCAGATATGTTCGTTGCCGGCGATGTTGCATTGTATGCTGTCCCATTGGTCATGTTTGCGACAGTATAGGTCACCTGCTGCGAGTGTTTCAGGGCTTCGTGGTCGACCATGGAGACAATGGCTATACTGAGGTTCACCCTCTGTGAGTACAGACACAGGAAGCCGAAGAACCACAGAATGGACAACCCAAAACGCTGCGAAGTCCACCATGGCACTGCGGGGGTTAACATGTTTTTGTTAGATTTAGATTTATATCAACAAACATTATATCGCTAAATAGGCAAGACCGTTTGGCCAATTATTTTTGGGGTTCTATCGACTTTCCTACCCAACATATTGCTAAAATGTATCTCTGTTTTGTTTCAAATTATATATTTTAATTTCAGGTTTTCTTATTTTTAACGAAATAGCATTGAATCGTTCCCGGCAACATTTATCTAAAACTAATTTCGCTTCCTGTTTTTGGCTTAATGACCAAGACAAGCAAGAAGTAACATTGGTTTGACGTTAGAAGATTATGATATAAAAGGTATTCACTTGAAAACTGGATTTGACCAAAATAATCGAGTCTTGGCCAGATAATTCAGTGATTGGCATCATGAGCATCGATCTACGCAACTAGGATACGATGACATGCATCAACAAAGTCAGCAAGCCTCACAAACATTCCCTTTAATATACTTTAACGACAAGCATGGGTTGCGGAAGACGGGGGTCATGTTGTGTGCTGATGTGGAAGAGTCTAACCTTTTTCGGGATCGATCTCCTTCAGCTTTTCAGAATGAGGTTTCCTACTGAAGGAGTCGGAGTGGACAAAGTCAAAGCTGGACTGCCGTTTAAAAACTACTCCTGGCTTTGCCCCTTGCTCATCGATGTCGGACCACCGTCGGTTTTCGGGAGGTCGATTGTCGCTAGCTGGGAAGGTATTTCGTTTAGATGATGGCTGCTTCTGGAACAACGCACGACGTTCCACCGCCGCCGAGTTCTGTTCCGTTGGAGACGCTGGTGCGTTGTCCTCGTGAGAATCTGTCTGATCGGACCCCGGATGAGTGTTCCCGGTCTGGTTCTGCATGGCGGAGGGATCCGGTGAATACCCATTTGCCTCTGATGTCACGTGGTTTCCTGACATTCTGCAAACAAAGAAATTAATCATACAGGACATAGGTAAGGCCACATAAATAATTAAATTGCTTCTCGCCACTCTTTAATCACCTTGACATTGGTCAAAATGAGCTTTGTACGTTTATCCATCCGTTAACACTTAACTTAAAAAGTTTTCTCCTTAAAACTCTTGAACATATATGAATCATATTCCAATATAGTTCTACTTGCCTCTGGTTACAGCAATGTTTACATTTCATTTTCAAAAACAAAATGGCCTCCGACACTACTAATGTTAGTGAAGAATGCAACCTTCGCGCCAATTTTTTGGTAATTATGGATATTTTGCTTTTCAGATCTTCCGAGGATGTTCATAAGGGCAACAACAAGTAACATCTTTTAACGGGGCCGGGGATCGAACCACCGACATTCCGCTTTCCGGGCAGACGCTCTATCCACTAGAATGCGGAGGAGGTCGCTACTTATGAAATACTGATATAAACAGGCTTTGATCCCAGTAATTGTATTTAAGGAAATAACCAGGCTTGCTATACATGATCTCTTTTTGGAAAGGTCAAGGTCACCAGAACGCAAAATGGCAATTTAGCAAATCACCCTCTCCATAAAATGGTCATTTGATGACAACGTTCACAGTAACACACTCACACGTGCACACACACACACCCACACACATACACACTAACACACTAACATTGACACACACACTAACACACACACACACTGACACACACACACTAACTGACACACACACATTAACTGACACACACACACTAACTGACACACACACACTAACACACACACACACACTGACATACACACACACACACTAACACTAACAGACACACACTAACAGACACACATACACCCTGACACACACACACACACACACTAACACACACACTGAGACACACACACACACACACACACACACACACACACACACACACACACATACCTACGCGCTGATATGAGACAAACATTTCGTTTTTTTAGCCAATCTTTTCTGACTTACTCCAAAGGTCCTTAGAAATACTTTGCTTCCGTTCGGTTTCCGGGGCAGATCAGATCCTGACCCGAATGCATGACATGTATGAGTGGATTGTTGGTGTTTAATCAGCCTGGACGAAACTTACTATACAACTTGAATATTGATGACTGCATCGTTATAACAATCAAGATCATATCACACCGTTTATATTACTCAAAGACGTAAATACCTATATCTATATACGTCTTTGTATCACTTAAATCCAGCCGCGGGGACTCCGGGTTTGAAAAGGTCTCCAGCAACCTATATACTGGTCGTAAGAGTCGGCTTACAGATAGGGTGAACATACTCATGGACTGGTTGATCGCTTGTCATCGTACACTGACAGCATACACGTAACATCAATGAATGTATGGTCAGGTCTAGACTCGATTATGTATAGTCCGCCGTCATATAGCTGGAATATTGATGAACAAACAAACAAATAAACTGATACTACAGTCGTAACGCTAGAGCTGCTTTATGAAATGAGACATCGACTTGACAAGCAACTATTTAACCATTGTGATACTAAAATGTCCCTATTCCTCCCTTTAAATCAAAGCGTACACAAGTACCTGATCTCTGGTGGCAGCCCCAGCACATGTCTTCAACACTGTGACATACATGCGTGATTGTTTCGTGTAGTCTTTGCTCGACTGGCTAGTCCATACAAAGTGCTCGGGCGGGCAATTCTTACCTCACAGCATAGGTGGGTTTTGGGTCATGCTTTCGCAGAATACATCAGAGAATAGGACATTTTCAATGCAGTGACGTGACATAATGACTTAACTAAACAAGAAACTGATCTCAATATTTCAACTATTGGACGCGAATCCGACATAATACGTCATGTAGGATTTGCCTTTGTATATCATAACCTATCTAACAAAGACATGACAAAGACTGGATTCTAAGGTGCCTTGTGTTGTGGTATAACTGAATGTCGATGTACGATCCAGTCAGAAAAACTACAGTTATACCACAGCGGTCTCTAAGTAATCGAATACATATTTTGTTTTCGGTCGCTGATCAAGAGCGCTATTCGTTCACATATCTTCTTCAAACACATATTAAACACACTAAACGGACGCAATAACCACCATTAGTGTTGAGTCTGTTGACAGTTTTATCTTATCTTGTAAGCCCATATAGCGGAAGGTTCGGGGTTCGATCCGGGCTCGTCACACCAAAAGACGTTAAAAGATGGTACTTGTTGTTACCCTGCCTGGCGCTCAAAATTAAGGGGATGAAACAAGGACTGGTCGGCTCGGAGTCAGTATACTGTGTCTGAGTGGGGTATTCATGTTAAACTGCGGCATGGTATCTCAGTGGGCTAGCACTATGACATCGGCATTAGTCCGGAGGAGTACAAACAGATACACATACATACACACGTAAATGCACGTCGCTATATGTGCAATTTAATTTCCTCTGTGGGGAGCTTCCACAATGTTCCCTGCCAGTGGAACATCCATGATAGAGCTATTGATCTTCATCACAGAGCTGCCATTGCTAAATGTATATCGGTAGCCTCCTATGCAGAATACTGCACTATCGGTAATCTGTTTGGGGTTGAAATCTCAACTGTGTTGACATGGATGCACAGTTTGTGCTGCTATATCTGACACACTTCTACCAAGATATGTGACTTTCCCTACAGGCCCTCAACTCCATAGGTTATCAATGGAGGGATGTCAGTTGCGGAGTGACTATAGATGCATAAGGGATATTGACGTAGGGTTTACCAGCACATATGTGACTGACAGTGATTCTCCAGAACCTTTGTGAGTGCGCATGGTTTTACGCCGCCTTTAGCAATATTCCAGCAACATCACGGCGGAGGTCACCATAAATTAGCTTCACACATTGTACCCATATGGGGAATCGAACCCGGGCCTTCGACATGACGAGCGAACGCTTTAACCACTAGGCTACCCCACCGCACGAGAACCTGTGTGAAATGAGACACATGGGCATGGAGGTGGGGGCAAGCCGAGGTGACCTTGACCACATCATGTCGATGATGAACCTCTGCCAAGTACAAGCAGCCTGCGTATTTCACCAATGCATTAAATGTTTCGGGTTCTCAAATTTGTCTGTGGTAAAATACCATCATCAATCCTCATGGGGCACCTTTCTCTGTGCCATAAAAAAACTGATAATGATTTACTGGCTGCAATTTGTATTATTAAACTTCTGAATAAAGTACAACATCTCAATTACTGATTGTGTTTTATTCCAGAACAATGTGATGTACATCAAACATATTCATTAATGTATGACAACCCCCAAAACGGTATCAGTTGCACAATCTTGGATGGCCACCCACAATTTCGTTAAGCTTTGTGTCAAATTTACACAGTTGTCTACCCCTACCGCTTGTTTTCAGTTTCTTTTTTCATTCCCTGAATGACTTTCTCAGTGTATGCATTCTAATTTTGCACACTTGGCTTGAGTTTTCTTGAACATCACTGATCATGTCTGTTGACATATTGGTACAGATGGATCCCTTGTGTTCTTTGGATCTTCAAGTTGCATTTCAAGGTTTCTCTCACTCCAAGCTGGAGTAGACATTCTGTCGCCTCACCAAACCACTACGCACCAGGCTTACACCTGTTTCCCAGCCATATTCCGCAACAGGTCACCTGCAAATGACTCCAGAGGAACCCCAGTCAGAAGCGTCATATGACTGTCTGGCGGTTTATGCGATAATGCAAGAATGGCCTTTTTCCTGGCATGATGCAATCTGTTTGAATATACCATAAATTTGTTTAAATGACATAAGTATGCTTATGGAGTAAAATACTTAGGGAGTAAATATACTTTTACACTACCTCTTTTGGTGGTACAATTTGCTTCAGGGGTATAAATAGCCTACTCACGTGCGCAAAACCGTTTGCATGACCTATTTACCCACCATAAGTAAATTTACTTATGTAAGCAAAAATACTTATGTAAGTAAATGTGTGCATGTTTACAAATGAGGCTTAGGACATCTGGACTCTGCATATAATTATCCATCTCGTCCAGGTAATCAAAAGCATAATTTTAGAACCGAATTTGATATGAAATTTACTTTGTCCACAAACCCATTCAGGATAGCCGACATCAGTTGTTGATATGTCACGTTGTCCTCCGAGAATGTCAATTACGGCATATTTCCCACGATGTCCGTCTGTGGCTGTCTATTTTGAAGCGAGACGCAACTATTTATTGACCAATCAAGCAATGCTGAATGCTCGTGGCGGCATTAACGATCTCTCCTCGGAGTACTGACACCCTGAAGCCAGAGCCGCGGCAAATGTCAAGGAACACGAAGCATTACCAGCAACACGCACAGCGCGCCTGATAGCACGTGGGCCAGGTCCTTCAATACAAGTGATGCTGAAAATCAGATTTGTTACACTGTACACAAACAGTGGCTGATACGAAACACTACATGTCACAATCTTAATATATTCATATATTTTGAATTTGTCATACAATCCCTGTCTCCTTATTCTCAAAACGAGCTATTGATCAAATACTCTTTTCGGACACCGTGACCTTGTACCATGCAATGTAACGATCAACTTCGACGGAGTTTGTCGCACGTGCATCAGCAGTGGTGAACTTATATGTGCGAAATATTTTGTAAACAAAGTTAGGATAATAGGAGTAAACTGCTTAGCCTTAGAAAAAAATCTTTTTAACTATGTTCAAACTATGCAGGGTTTTACATCTAAAAGAACGGAAACATATCTATCAGGAAAAGAAATGCGTACGTGCATGTTATCTGTGTTGGGCACATGTCAAAAACAGATAGGTTGCATTAAACTCATTGAACAAACATCCTTTGTCTGGATGGGAGAAGGAAGTCCTAAACATGCATACATATACACACTAAATAAATAAATAAATAAGCCCCTCAAGATACGCTGCTACTGATGTACGAAATACACGAAAAGGTTGATTGTAAAGCTATCCTCTGTCATCGAT